ACAGTGTCTTATATTATTATTATTATTATTATTCTTTCATTATACTCATATGCAAGCGGAGCTTATGATGAGTCCTTGCGTGATGTTAAATACAGGCCAAGTGTTGGTTATATAGGAGGAAATACAGGTGTTGAGACCACATCAAGATAACAAGAACATAGAAAATACAAAGAAGTGACAATTAAATACATACAATAATAACTTCCCAGCCCAGGAACATAGAGCAATTTTATTGAAGCGATTTGTACACCTCTGTATTTATTAGAAACCTGAGGTGCTTGGGTTCCGGATTTAATGTATCCCCTGCGGGTTTCGAACCCACACGCCCTGGTTTCCCACGCCAAGGCGCTACCGGGTGGCCGCATTAACCATTCGGCCACCGGGGCTACAGTGTCTTATAGTATCTTAGTAGTATTCTGATAATAATATCTGTCAATTACACAGTTACTGAGTAGTGTCATGATAATATTAGGAAGTTCTGCACTGTCTTAACATCATCTTGATGTTTAATATTCAGTGATATGTCACTGAATATAATGATGGAACATGTGTTACAATCGGCGACACGTGACATGGGTGGAATGGTGGATCCACGGTGTAATCACTGTAAATTAACCCTACGTTCTTCCGGTAAGGTTATGTAGGCTACTGGGGCAAAAGAGCTCAGTCATCACCAGCGCTGCTGGTAGAAGGGCTGATCAACAGGAAGCAGAAAACTTGACCTCACTAAGTGCGCCACTTGACCTCGTTATGTAAGCTGACCTCGCAAATGTGGCCCGTGCCACTACCTGACCTCGCTCAATACATCTTTTCTTGTAATTTGAAACCACTTAATTATTTATCATCAATTCTACAATCAATTCAAAATCAATTTAAAATCAATTTAATACTGAAATTATTCTTGAATTTAATAATAAAGTAAGTATTTATATAATTTACACTGAATTGATTATCAATTGATTTTCAATCAATTGTTAATTACTTAAATATATAGATTGAATTTATTTTTATTATTATAATTAATTAACAATCAATTTAAAATCAATTTAAAATCAATTTAAAATCAATTTAATACTGAAATTATTCTTGAATTTAATAATAAAGTAAGTATTTATATAATTTACACTGAATTGATTATCAATTGATTTTCAATCAATTGTTAATTACTTAAATATATAGATTGAATTTATTTTTATTATTATAATCAATTAACAATCAATTCAGAATCAATTTAAAATCAATTTAAAATTAATTTAAAATTAATTGTTAAATATTTTTATCTTAATATATTTTAAAATTCTGTAAAATATCTCTTTATATTCTATATGAATTTGTCTGTTCATTTAATTGATTATGAATCAGCTAATGCTTTGATTGATTGAGTGAATTGAAAGATTGAGTGAATTGAAAGGTTGAAAGTCAATTATCAACTGATTATTACTGTATTGTGCGAGGTCAGGGTCATGATTATGTAATGAGGTCAAGTGGCGCACTTAGCGAGGTCAAGTTTTCTGTATACACGCTGATCAACCTCCGGGACCCTCAACATATTATCCTCTTTGTAGATAGATCTATCAATACAACCTTAAACTATCCTACACTAACTGTAAACGGCATCGTTGGTGCTGATATAAGGCTGATATAGCTCTTGGGCTTGCAACACAACACAACCCACTACTCCCGTACAAACAACCCAACTCAACTTGATGATTGTCCTTTTGCCTTCACTGAACATTATCACATATTCTGTTTGTTTCTGCCACTGGATGCTGAGCTCTCGAGGGAATATTTGAAGCAGGTTTCACTTCGTATCTTCTTCCCTCCGCTTCAGCGACTTTTTTTTTTTTTTTTTCCTTTACATTCAATCTTTATACTAGTTACCTGTGGATCTGATAAAATTACCAATCCCTTAAAAACCCTTAACCGGCCGGTGAGCTTCGGGAGCTAAAAAGGCAAAGCCAAGCGGGTGGGTGCATCATTATTATTGATGTCTGGATGTCTGCACCCCCCCCCCTCAAGGCCGCTTACCATCATTCCCAACCTAGAGAGCTAGATGAAGACTCCCAACCGTTGAACTCATCGCATGCTTCTACCACGTATCAATTGGAAACTGAAGGTGTTACACATTTGCTCGTCGAATCGTGCGACTCCGTTCTTAAAGCCAGCACTGGCAACTCTCCAGCCAGGCATTCCGAAGACCGTCCAAACGAATCCAGTGTTGAGCAAGGACTGGCATCGAATGGGAGCAACGAGCCACGTGGCTTGGGTTCGAACTCCCCTTCAACTTTCTTAGATGTTTCCTTTGTTGGTGTCGGTGAAGGCATCCCAGACTGGAATGCATCTTACGCTTCGTATCTGAACCTAGACCACATTTACGCAAACCAGGAGGAGCTTGTCAATGAGCAAAGGGAACTAGTGCGCAGCTTGGAGGGACCGTCACAAGCCACTCGAGCTCTGGAGGCCACCTCGTCTACTCCTCCGCATCCAGCAGCGGTGGGACCTACTACATTTCCCTTCCAGAAGCAACTCTCCACACCCCATCGCCCTTCTATCCCAGGCCCGGCACCAGCAGCTAGTCCATCTCCATCTCGTGCACCCAAGCGCAAAGCAGACTCACAGCACGCGTCTTCAAATGGGAGAACAGTCCGGCCCAGGCTTGTAGCTGATAATTTGGAACAAACCGTGCACGAGTCCGCTCATTCTTTTGCATCGAACAGCGAACAGAGTCCCATTATTAATCGGATGCGCGCACCCTCTGGCTCACAGCCGCATCCAGGAAGTAGGATTGGGAGCAGAATGGATCAAAACAGGAGCAGACAAAGTAGTAGAGCGAATTCTCCGAATGCGGCAGCAGAACCCTCCACGTCCGCTCCTGGAGTTTCAAAGCGGCCAGATTCTTCCGAAAGGGCCAAAACCTGCAACCTTCCTCCTGAAAAGGTGTTTCCCATTCAGATCGGCTCGGAGTTGTTTAGATTGTCTGGCTCATCGATTTCCTCTGATGGTTAGTCCAGCAAACCCCCAACCCCCATCTCTCTATACCCAGAATTAGACCATATGGACTAAAAATCTTAGAGCACCCTCATACTTTTCACATTTTTTCGATGAACAGTTACGCCACAATGAAGATGGGGCAGCAGTGCGAACTCTATACATAGATCGCGACCCCGCCAACTTTCGAGATATATTAAGACATCTTCAAGGTATCTTGAGTCCCATAGCCCCAGAGCATATCGTATACATTGTAATTAAGCCTTAAATCGCGTGTATCCCACCTGACCTGACTGACAATGGCCCTTTCACACGCAAGGTTACTATGTGCGACCGCGAGATGGATCCCATCTTGTTAAGTTATTTGCGGATGCCCAATTTTACAGCCGTAAGTTGCGGTACCTGCATCAATATTTTGTCGAAGAATTATTCCCCTAATTTGCGTCATTTAGTGCCGCGCTTGATCTCTCAGCTAGTCGAGTCTGAGATATTCATACAAATCGGCGACCGACATTTCCAAATTCCGCGCGATATATTTTCTAGTCCTGGGGATTCTCCGAACTTCTTCTCAGTCGCATTTGCTATATTTTTCACCACTCCCAGCGATTCGATCGGGCGCCCAAACCTCCTACGTCCACCAGCCGTCACTCCACCCGTGGTTATTAACCGATCTGCTGATGTGTTCTCTGAGCTCCTCCATATGCTTAAAGGATATCCGATCCACATACGAAACGAAGAACACAGAGCAGAACTATTGCGAGACTGTCGTTATTTCCATCTTCGGGGGCTTGAGCAAAAGCTCATTCCCCACGCAATCAGCTACAACTTGTTGCGGCAGAAGTCAGAGATCGTGATTCGATTGGAAGATATCCGGCAGTCGGGGGTTCAGTTTGTAAGCGACGTCTCACCGGCAGACAGGGCTGCTTCTGGAGGATGGGTCCATTACTCGCGCCCTTTCGTCGACGACGCGTCTCACGAACTAATAGTGGAGATTGGGGACGAAAACACGTTTATTGATCTGAATTCAATGCGGGCAGATTTTGTCGGGTTAGCAAAAGCGAGGGTATCGAGTCTCTTCCAGGTCATAGCCAATAAAATGAATCTCCCTACGATTGCCCCTCTAGGATTATTGATGAAGTCTGGCGGATTCAGCAAACAGCCACCTAGCCCAGGCCATACACCCTTGAGTGAGGACCAAGTCAAAATCCGAATAGACTCGGATGCGGACATCGTCCTCGATGGAGAACTATATGTTGCTGATTGGAGTAGAATCAGAAGTACTCTGTGTCCTACGCCAGGCGACACGGGTTTCCTTCCCAGAACCCCTGGTTCCAACACCTGCGGGAGGAACCAAAGCCTCAATCCGGTCAATGTTACAGAAAAGAATCAACTATCATCGGACTCAAATTCTGTTGACATGTCGAACCAACCACCACCACCACCAGCAGCAGCAGCAAGCGAAAATTCATCACAGTCACTGTCTGTTACAGGGTCACTCTCCTCTTGCAACTCCCCGTCCGCCATGCCGTTTAGCAAGCCGGAGGCACCACGAGCGCAAAATAGCCAAGGGACGACCAAACGCAAGAGACTGGATAGCATATATGATAATGGAGAATGGGTAGTGGAGAAGGGGCACTGGAGAATCCGCGTGCAGGCTAATGCACAGGAGAGTGCGAGTGGAAGAATGGAGATCATGTTTGTTGCTGTCAAGCTCTATGCGTTCAGTGGACAGCGGGCGCGCAATGCAAGCCGGGGATTTCTAAACTAATAATGTGGGCGTGCGAGCGGTGTGAAGATGTCATGATTGCTTTACACTGCGTATGTTTTGTTTGACTTTCATGGATAGGCTAACTATAAATACTCGGTCTTCTTGGCTACATATGTGTAAATATATGGATATGAGATATGAGGCAGCGATGATGCAACAACAATACCGGGCCGGGGGTTTTTGGACATATATTATAAAAGTGATTACCCTTTTATATTTTTCTTTCATTTAAATTTCATAGAGCGCGCGATCTTCTTTGTTCTTCTTTGTTGCCTCTCCTTGTCTCTTCTTCTTTGTATTCCACCCACTTGTACGCTGCGTATTATTCCCTCCCTATCCCCTAGCCTTGTTCCTACGGTAACCTTGGCTCGTCGTAATAATAGGTTTGAACTGTAACGTAACAGCATTGAGTTTACGGTTCGCCGCCAGCCGCCGTAGATAGCCAAAATTACCGCTAAGTTCCGGATTACCATACGCTATCTTTCATCTTTCGCCCAACCCCAACCCATATAGCCTAGGTGGTAAGAACTAACTACTGCGTACAGCGTAGCTGAACGCCAATAATAGAGGAAAACGACGTCTATCTCTTCGCTCTTTTGCCCTCTCTCATCGGGCCTTGATTTATTTCCGCCCCGTATAAACCCATTTTCATCATCTCATCTCATCCTCCTTGATCTGTAGTTACTTACTCTCCCAATTTATCCTCCTGCTCCTATCTCTTTCTCCATCTAGAGCCATCTTAGATATGTCAACTACATTCTCTTCTCAATCTCAAACGAACAATCCCACCCCTTCAGCTCAGGTTCCTTCGCCCGTGAACTCTACTACCGTCACACCGGCGAACAATTCTCCCACCTCCCCCCGCCTACAGAACGCTCAGCTCCATCAATTACACCTGCAATCGCGCCAGCTCCGCCCCCCAAAGACTCCGTTGTACGTTCCCGCTGTCCTCCGGCCTACTGAGCGCGCAACAAAACCTTCTCCTCTCACCCCTCCACGCAGCATACATGGCTCCTTAGATAGCCTGGATGACCAACCGGAGAATGCTGGCCCCATTACCCGGAGTTCGACCTTTGAGAGCGTCAAAAGCGCTGTGAGTAAACGTGCTGAGGATGAGTGGCTGAAGGATGAGAATTTGGGAGAAGTGACAGGTTCACCCACGCGGGAGCATTGGAAGGTAATCCAACTTTTTGTTGCGTGTTCCATGCATACAAAATCAATCTCGTTTATGTGATATTGTTATTTTATTTTCTTTCGTTAGCGATTCAACCGAGCTGACAAATGTCCTCCCCTCCCCCCGGACTTCCAGGCTGATTCCGCATCCCCTACTTGCGACTCACCCACTTGCCGTTCTTTCTTTGGCCTCTTCCTTCGCCGACATCACTGCCGGCACTGTGGCCATGTCTTTTGCTATTCACATACTCTCCACATGGTGCCCCTCGACCAAAATGCCCGCTTCCATCCCGATGGAATCCCCTCACGTGCCTGCGATCTCTGCTGGAGCGCCTACCGCCGCTGGGACAAGGCTCGCACCACGCGACTCAACGAAATACAACAGGATCTTGTCTCTAATGCAGAAGATGTCCAAGATAGAAACCCCTCGTCCGCTAGGGCAATGAGAACCAATGGCTCCGGTAACGCAGCAGCTACTCGTCCGGGTGGCATGGCACCATCAATCGCTCAAGAAGGCCTTGCTGCAAGTAGCGTCCCGAGAGACTGGAGCTGGAGCACATTCTGACAGGCTACATATGTATATCCCATTACACACCTTCCTTGCGTTTTTTCATTTTATATCTTGCTTTTTTTTAACATTTCACTTCGTACGGATATATTTCCCATGAATGTTGGCGTCCCTATTTCCAAGTTTCATCACACATCCTCCTACCTTCGCCTAGCAAATCCTTTACGCCGATTTACCGCTTGTCTCTCCCTGTTTTCGTCAACCCCTATAATTCTTTTTTTATTTTCTTTTAGATTTCTGCTGTTACTATACTGGTGTTCACTCTAATAGATGGTTGCGGCGCAGATTGTTATGGATATATTTCGTTTATCTTCCCTTGTTTTCACTCTTTCTGTCTTTCTTTCTCTCTCTCTTTCTTTCTTTCTTTCTTTCTTTCTTTCTTTCTTTCTTTCTTTCTTTCTTTCTTTCTTTCTTTCTTTCTTTCTTTCCTTCTCTCCTTACTTCTTTCCTTTTTTTATTTTTTTTATTTTTTTATTTTTTATTTTTTGGGTGGTGGTGGTGGTTATTGTTAATGCTTCCTCTAATTGTTGTGTGCTCCTCCTTGACTTTGCGTTTGCTAGATATTTCTTTTGACCCCGTATAATATTTCTGCATCCTTTAGTTTGAAAGATGGGTGATGCCGTCTAGCAACGTTATATAACATTTCGGTTCAAGAACCATGATTGACTAACCGCGTTTCTAAACATGAAAAGCCGCCAACGAGTCATTGAAAATCTAGTCGAATATATCCCTCTATACGCTTGCTTCAAATGATAACTTTCAACAGCATTTACAATCAAACCATCATCTCGTAGCTGGATAAAGATTCCAGCAGCCATTAGGTTATTCCAGCGGTATTTCTACCGTCTTCCACATTCCAACATGATCCATCCCTTCCTCCACCCACGTCCCCATAGTCTCATCCGTCACGAACCCCAGCCGCGCATACATTTTTTCAACAGTGACTTGGGCATGGACCAGCACATCACCAATCCACGGCTTGTCCTCAGATTCCTGCAGCGCTTTGTGATGTTCCGACGCCCAATTCAAGGCGGCTTCTACCAGGACACGCGCAAGCCCCGCGCCGCGATACTGCCGTAGCAGTGCAACCCTCGACAGGGCCACATAAGGTCTCCCCAGTTTATGTTCATTAGGTTCATGCGGGGGAGGAATAAGTCGAAGAGTGCCGATCGGGGTGGGCTTTTCGGACTCTGTTGTTGTAGCATAGAGGACCCAATGCCAACTTCTCGCGTCATTGTCATCGAATTCATTCTCTGGTTTGCAATGCTGCTCATCTACAAAGACTACTGTACGTACGTGCATGGCATCGTTGAATATTTGCGGGTTGTTGGCGGGCGCGGGGTTGGAGTCGGTGGGTCGTGTGAGGCTCTTGAGGGGGGGTGGGAGGAAGGATGTTGTGAATTGGGCGGTTGAGCCCATTGCGCACCAGAAGTTTATACTGCTCAATGGCTAGTTGGTCAAATATCTGCCTGGAATGTAGGGGAGGGAACCTTATTGTGTGAACGGCCTGAGGCGTGCGGGGTTGTTTTGACACGGCAGTGATGCCCGCACGACCCCGGAAGAGGAAATAACAAGAAGCCCAATGCAGGAATACAGATGTAAGAGCAGGGGGATAGGTAAACTCGAATAATCCAGGTCTGGTGGGCAATTGATTTTTTGGGTACTCTCTTATCTATGACAATTGATGGTGGTTGTGCTTCGAACTGTTCTTCTTTTACATACTGTATACGCTAACCGTGCTAGAGATAAGCCATCCAGACCAAGCCTAATATAGACTAGCGTTGTCCCCACCCGACTCCCAAACCCGCCGCCAATTTAAGGTGTTATTCATATTGGGATTAGCGTCGCCAAGCCACTCCCGAGAGGGTTCGAATTGAACAAACATTGCAAACATCGGCGGCAAGAAACAACATCAAACTTAGCACGAATATTAGGCGTCCATCCATTCCCACAGGTGGACCATTGAAGCATCTATACAAAAGCTACAATGTCATTATATTCAGATGCCGCATCCATTCTCAAGAACGGTTCTGGCACCGGTGGTTCATTCAAAGCTCGCGTCTACAATTCAAAACTCAGGTCACCTGCCGTGCAAGTTTACGCCTTGATAACAGAGACGGCAAAATGGGATATTATCCTCAAAGAAGTGGTTGAGAATGCCGGCTTCCTTTCTCTCGAACCAAAGGTCAGCTCGTTACCACCGTCTATTTTGCCTAGTTTTCTTTCTTTCTTTCTTTTTTTTCTTTTTTTTCTTTTTTGATAGACGAAACTAACTTCTACTGCTGGCCGCCCAGCTTGAAAGGTATATTTAGCTCACCCCCCTCCTGTCGATCCTCCTTGCCCACGATTTGCTATTCGCAAAAAGAGGCATTGCCGCGCCATCAAATCATCCCTTGCGTTTGGCCATCGAAAGGCACAAAGTTCGGATAAAAGCAGAGTTCGTTAGATCTCGTGTGCGCCGTCGATGTGCCTCCATCGAAGAGCTCAAGGCGCTCGTCGCGAAACAGAAAAACCCTACTGGGGAAGGGACTACTACATTGGTACCTCCCAGGTGGGTCAGGATAAATAATGTGCTAACAACATTTGACGAAGAGTTGAAGACAACATTTTCATCCTCCAAACTAGTCCACTCGTTATCGCAGTTAGCAGCAGCTGCACCACAATCATACTATCAAGATCCTCATATCCCGGACCTTCTAGCTGTTCCACAAACTGCAGAACTAACGTCATCGACGGCATATAAAGAGGGGAGGATAATACTACAGGACAAAGCATCTTGCTTCCCGGCCTATTTGCTCCTTGGAGGTGCTGTGAAACAATGGACAGGAGACTTGATGGATGCTTGTGCGGCACCTGGTAACAAGACAACGCATCTTGCCTCGTTGTTGTGTTCAGGCTCGGAGCAGTGTCGTGATGATCTAGTTGGCCCAGCTCCACAGAAGTGTAAAATATTTTCATGCGACGCCTCGCAAGCCCGGTCAAAAATTCTACAGCGGATGGTGACTGTTGCTGGTGCTGGCAGGATGGTTTCTGTCCTTGCTGGTCAGGACTTCCTTGCCATATCACCCGAGGATAAACGTTTCCGAACTATAGCAGGCCTACTTCTTGACCCTAGTTGTTCTGGGAGTGGTATAGTTGGAAGAGACGACATACCTCGCCTGGCTTTACCTAGTTCACATAACCCAAATCCTCGGAGCAAGAAAATGAAGCGCACTGCGCTCGCACCTGTTCCTTGTACACATGCAGACCCCGCGGCTGACGAAGAGGAACCAACACCCGCCATCGATCATGACCGCCTCATCAAGTTGTCTAACCTCCAGACGCGGATCATTGAACACGCATTTAGTTTCCCGGCAGCTAGACGAGTCACATACAGCACTTGCTCCATACATGCGCAGGAGAACGAAGTTGTTGTTTCGCGTGCGCTGAAGTCACCGGTAGCGCAACGACGTGGGTGGCGAATCCTTTCAAGAAGCGAACAGGTTGAGGGACTGCGAAATTGGAAATACCGGGGTATAAAATCTGAGAAGCCTGGAGATGGAGCGAGTGAAAGCTTGGATTTGACTGGGACGGAATTGGAAGCGTGCTTGCGGTGTTGGCCAAACGATGAAGAGGGTACTGGAGGGTTCTTTGTTGCTGGATTTGTTCGGGATGGTGGTTTTGATGGTGACAGTAGTGCTGCAGATACCACAATATCGCCTGACAACAAGGGAAGTATTGAAGAAAACAATGACGATGGGGCTCAATTGGAAGAGGAGTCCGAATGGGAGGGGTTTGACTAGGACTGAAAAGGTTTTGGTTGTCAATGATTTCTTCAATTAGCTCTCAGCGAAAACGCAAACGATATCTCTACACGCCTCGCGCTAAGTAGACATGACAAGCAGAGATAATGTCTATTTCAGCTGACGCCGTTGAACAGCTTGTTAGGCTTATACATGGTAGATATTCGGGATCTATTATTACTATTCATGTCTGCAAATTAGGGTTTGTTGACCCACCTGACCAGGAAATTGTATCACATGACTGCGATGAGTCGTCAACTTCCTGGACCAACGTTCAAGCTGCGATGCTCCCTCGGATCTACTGTCAGAGAAGTTCGGCGCGAGATATACGGCCACAGGTGTCTATTGTAAATATATTCTATTCCATACGCCATGATTCTGCCGCAGTTACTCTCGTAACTCTCTTAAACCAAGTGGGCTAGAGACTGAAGCGGTGGTCTCTCCTTGATTTGATGACGGCAATGCGCTGCGCCCATTGACCGTTGGTAACCTGATCTGAGTGAAGACCATGTACCATCTAGCCAAATCGATTTATTTCTATGCAACGAGTAAAGAGGGTATGTCTTACCCGTGATATCACGCCCTAACCATCTCCGATTTCCACGACCACTATTAATTTTGGACCAATATAGAATACTCCGTCCTACTCCTTGGCCTAGATAATGCGGGGAAAACCACCCTGCTAAACCAGATAAAAGCCCTTTTCCTCCCAACCGACTCGAACAACACCACGCCGCAGCCCCTTTCTGGCAAAACTGTCCCAACCGTCGGCCAAAATGTCGTAACCATCCCGCTCCCAGACATGTACTTGAAAATATGGGATATAGGCGGACAGATATCAATGCGCGGCCTCTGGCAAAGCTACTATTCGAGCTGCCATGCCATTATTTTTGTGGTGGATAGTGCAGATGTTGGCGAAGACGCGGACGTTTCACGCCTTGCTTCGACGGGCTGTAAAGGAGGAGGGCCAAATGCATCGTCGAGCGCCAAAGGGCCTTCGGGTGCTATTACAGAACCCATGAGTGCCATAGATCCGCGGGGTGAATTTGGGAGATTGGATGAGTGTCGAGAGGTCCTTGAATCGGTATTGCAAAACTCGGAGACGGTCGGGGTGCCTATCCTGGTACTAGCGAATAAACAGGATAGAGAGGATTGCGTGGAGGTGGTCAGGATCAAGGAAGGGTTTGTGAGAAAGGTATTTGAGGGCGAGGAAGGGGGTGGGATGCGTGATAGTCGTGTTTTGCCGGTTAGTGCACTAATGGGAAGCGGAGTTAGAGAAGCGGTGGAATGGGTTCGCAGTCGAGTGAAGTGGAACAAGGAAGGGAGACCTCCCGTTATGAGATGAGATATGAGACCACTTGATATAATCGTGATTTTTTATCTGTTTATTGCTGGAATAGCCATATACCCGTTCCTTATGTGGTTACACCGAGTTTTCATTTGCTTTAATTCAGCTTAGTTGGGCATTCATCAAAGATTTTGTACTGTTTATTTATAAATATTGATACGGCATATTCCTGATTTTTTTGTAGCACTAACTATTTCAACTGGCTGGTTCGGTTATGGACATCATTCCCTCCTATCTATAATAGACTAGAAACCACTCTTAAGATTTCTCTTGAAGAGGTAGGGAAGATTGTTTTGCTTCGTCTCAGTAGTCGTTGGTTTTTGCATAGATCAATATGTAAATGATGTCACATTCCTTTAGTCCGCTTTATCCAACGAATAGGCCAGATCTTGCCGCTACCGGCCGTCTAAGTAGCCCGGAATGAAGACATTCGTATGGATCCAATGCTGCGACTCCTAATGGAGATGGCTCTTAAGACGAGCTGGAAGGGAGCGATTACGCATTGGAGCATAGGGAGTGCCCTAGGCGAGTTCTGAAAGTGAGGGTATTTATTCTTCGAGTGGGTGCCACCAATTAGTACATCACTCTCGGTCCGGTCGCGCGGCGCCTAGACTCTCGGTGAATGGAGGAGGAGTCGATCTCATGGGACTGAGTGCTTTCTACAGCCGGCTTCCTTGGCCAGCTTCTCGCAATATCAATGTTGCTGCGAGGGAACCATATTTCTAGGAAAACATAGAGAAGAAAGTCTATGACAACGCAGAGACAAAACAGTTTCCCCGCCCAGATGCCGCAGCCGAAGTAACGTTTCAGTCGATCAATGAGGGCAAAACTATGTATGCGCCCTCTTGTTGCAGTCCAACCTTGCCCAGGAAAGTAGCCGTAGAACTCTTCTTCGCTAATGGCACCACATATTCCGTTGTAGACACGTTCGGTTCGTCGGGCAACATCTGTCCATGAATACATCATACGTACTTGTTCATGAAACTTGTCTGTGCGGACTCTGTTAGAACGGAGAGCTGCAATTGCTTTTCCAGTCGCCAGAACAAGGTCATCCTCCTCCGGTTTAGCAAATGTTGTCATATGCTGCGGTAAAACTTCTGGAATACCTCCAACACGGGTACAAACAACATAGAGCCCACAGCTAGCGGCTTCGACAATCACAGTTCCAAATGCTTCTGTCAAACTTGGGTGTAGATAAATATGTCCGCGCACCATCACATCGCGGACTTCCTCATGACGAACAGCTCCAATGAATTCCACTTTGTCCTGGAGAACTTTACGTTCCAGCATTTGCTCCAGGTCAATCGCTTTGGGTCCGGAACCAGCAATAATGAAGCGCACATTAGGATGGGAAGCTAAAATTCTTGGTATCGCCGCAATTAAGAGGTCCGTGCCTTTGTTATAGAAAAGTCGTGATATGACAACAATCGTGATAATATCATCGGGGCCCAGTAACGGGCGGGGAACAGGCGTTTGGTCGTTTCCTTGGGTGGTGTGCGACAAAGGGCGAAAATTTTCGGCAACTACTGCGTTAGGAATGACGGACACCATTAAGGGGTCGAGGGAAGCGCGGAGGACTGTATTCTCTTTGCTACAGAAGGGTAATATGTCAGCATTCTTGCCAGCTGACCACCAGTTCGCACCCAAAGCGATCGTAGGCTTACCAAGTATGGCTGACGCAAATAACATGATCAACATCACTCAGGGTAAATTTCAGAAGTTTGTTCGTAAGAATTGAACCCGCATCTGCGAAACCAAACAACGAGTGGTCCGTAAAAACTGTGCGCAACCCCATAGTGCGCGCGTGGAGGATAGCTTCATGGCAAAAACTGCTCAGACTTTGATGTCCATGCACGATTTCAATCTGTTCGCGTATGATGATATTGCGAAAAATGGGGAAGAAAGAGAAGACAGTTGGCATAGTCGATTCGCGGTATATGACGAAGAACGGGGCATGGTAGACCTTGAGTCCATTCGTGAGATAACGCACTCCGGTCCGGCCTTTGTAGGCATGCGTGACAATGATTACTTTATGGCCTCTGTCTATTAATTTCTATAATACTAGTTAACACCTCGGGAGAGTATTGGATTGTATGCGGTAACTTTACTGACCGACGAGAGCTGGTATATGTGACTTTCCACTCCTCCTAGGTATTGTTAGCCATGCGCTGCGGCCTTCCAACACGAATATTCGGTTATACATCATACCAGGTTGGGGGAAGAAAAAGTCACTAATCATACTATCCCACTGTTAGTTCTCAGTCGTTCAGGAGGTTTTCGAAGGTTTCGGGGTGTGGAATAAGGGAGCTCACGCAATATTATACGTCATGTTGGCGATGGTGATAGGCTCTTCCACCACAGGTCCAAGGCATTCATGGCTTGCAGAGTGTTCCCTTTGTTCTCAAAACAATGAGGCTAACGGGGAAGGAGAAAAAAGACATTGAAGACGCTGTTGCTAGGAAGCGTGGGAAGAAACATCGTGTGAATGAAAGCATTTGACACCACCTTGAAGGCGGTGTGAGCTTTTTGCCACTATCAAGACAAATTATCTCGGGCAAAGCACAAATTCAACCTCAAAAGCTTGAGCCATCTCCACATCAGGCTCCATCCGAGATTATGGCTGCTCCATTCTACTCCAGATATATTCCTCCCAGGAATGATCTTCTACCAAAGCCTCCGGAAGACTTATTATCTCCAGCTGGATCTGAAAAACGGAAGCGAAAATCTGCACCAGTCGACGATGCTTCAGTCCCGGCATTCACTCCGGCCAAGAAGACGAGGAAGCGTGAAAGGAACGAGAAGCCAGAGGTTTCTGTCGCGCTCTCACACTCTCAGAAGGGCACGTTTAAACGGGGCGACTCAGATTCGAACTCCTATTCGAAAGCAGAAAGTGATATTTCTCCACTCGCACCGCTGGAGCGGGTTCCGGTACAAATCAAAGACAATCCGCCAGAGGGACGGGAACAAAAGAAAGGCTCGAGAAAGGACAGCCATGAAATATCAGGGTCTCACAGCACAGTTGAGGGGTCTACGGATTCGGTGAGCGTACCGAGACAAAGGGGTGATATAATTCAGGGTACGGACCCGTCAGACAGGAAGGGGTTTAAAAAAAGGAAATTATATCGGGAAGGTGATGCATCGACTATAACTGTACCGGTAAAGCATGCCGGGATTTTATCAAAGTTCGAGAAGTCGAGGTTGACGGCTGCATCGGTAGCTACTAAGAGAGACACCTCAAACATCGTCGAGTCGCTGGGCAGTGAGGGTATCACCCCTCATGGCCTTGAACCACTCCCGCAGCCTGCGCCTGCACCAGCCCATATCGAATCCCCGCCATACTCTACGCTTCCTTCGTGGCTTTCTCAACCTTTCGCTGCCACCACCTTGTTGCAACGGAACTTCGCAAACCTGGGACTAAACAAAAATCTTATTTCTATTCTTCAGAAACGCGGATATACCACAGCTTTCCCTATCCAGGCAGCCGTTTTGGAACTACTTGGTAATGGAGAACATCAGCATTCAGGGGATCTTTGCATATCGGCTGCCACAGGTTCTGGGAAAACTCTGGCATATGCTCTCCCACTAGTAGCAGGTATCGAACAATTACCCCTAGCTAGATTGCGAGGACTTGTTGTTGTGCCTACACGGGAGCTTGTTAAGCAGGCTCGTGATGCTTGTGAACTATGTGCTACCAGAACAGGCCTGAGGATAGGAACAGCTGTTGGTACGGCATCATTAAAGGAAGAACAAGCGCTGCTTATTAAACACGATCAACTCTACTCTCCCTCTAATAGACGAATAGGAAACGGCCACCAGATGATCGCTGAGTCATGGGCTTCCTTCAACTTCCAAGAGTATATCACCGAAGTTGAGAGGTCTCATTCAGCGTTTCCCGACCATGTTGCAACCCCCTCCCCCAACATTGACATACTAATATGCACCCCAGGCCGACTTGTTGACCACATCCGGTCTACTAAGGGATTTAGCTTGGAACATTTGGAGTGGTTAGTGATTGATGAAGCCGACCGTCTACTCAACGAAAGTTTTCAAGAATGGGTTGAAGTTGTGATCCCGGCCCTAGAGAGAGTCAGAGTGGATGTCGCTGGCAAAAGTGGGCGGATTCTACCCGACTTAGGATGGCAGATCTGTAAACCTCGACTTCGGAAGATCATCCTTAGCGCCACCATGACAAGGGATATCGCGAAACTGAATTCTTTGCGATTGCAAAATCCAAAACTTGTTGTCTCTACCACTCCTGGAATCACGCCGCTCCCATCAGAAGGGAATGGAGATATTACCCATAAGGACGACCATGCATTCAGTCTACCTTCAACTCTGCGAGAAGTGTTTGTTCCAGTTGGCGATGCCGCAGATAAGCCTCTCTATCTCCTTACTCTATTACTCTCACATTTTAAATCGGATGATGGCCACGTTACGAACCTTCGGCGACAGCGTTCTCATTCGATTACATCCGATTCAAGTTCCACCGATTCATCTTCAAGCCTATCGGGCAATAGCTCCTCTGGCGAGTCCTCAGCTGTCTCATATAGCTCCTCTGGTACTGGTTTTTCAGACGAATCTTTAGTCCACGGCGACAACTATAAACCAATCGTGGCATCCCCGCCTTCTGTTTTGGTCTTTACCAAATCTTCCGAATCGGCATCAAGACTCGCTCGTCTACTTGTACTCATGCACCCACCGTTTGCCAACCGTATCGGTACTTTGGCAAAGTCAAGCAAGTCTAGTACGTCTCGTAAAACTATCTCTGCATATCGCAACGGGAAACTATCGATTGTCATCGCTACTGATCGTGCGTCTCGCGGCTTGGACCTGCCTTCTCTTACTCATGTCGTCAGTTATGACATTCCGACCAGCCTGACGTCGTATATTCATCGCGTCGGCCGAACAGCTCGTGCTGGTCGATCAGGGTCGGCGTGGACACTGGTAGCTCACAGGGAAGGTAGGTGGTTTGCCAATGAGATCGTGAAGTGCCCGGAATCAACTGTCGCAAGAACGGGGAATGTTGAAAAAATCACCATCAAACTTGATGAAGGTGTTGATTTGAAAACGAAGTATTCGGATGCTTTGCGGTTATTGCAGGCAGAGGTAGAGGAGGATCTTACTAAGTACAAACCGGGGAAACCTAGGGGCTGATAATCCTTGGGTCGCCTGTATATTCCTACGAATTTCGTTGTAGAGGTGTTTATTATTAAACTTATTCGTGTTCATAGATCATGTTCGCAGTTCTTGCTAAGACTCTCACTATTATTCTTGTATTCGTTGCCTTTCTTACTCTACTACTTATCCTCCACGATATTAATCCAGCGAACCTAGTACTTTGAAGACGTATGTCACTTTTCTATCTTTTTCATGAAGCAAGTGGCCGTTCCAAAAGCTCAGAGCAATCTTAGTGATGTAATGTACTCCGTTTTACACCTTGGGTGAGCTAATGTGTACATACATACATACATATCCGTGCCACTCCCTACGTCCAAGTTGAACATTGTCTGAAAATCAATCCAGACCATGGCTTGAACCAAGGCCCTACCTACGTCAGCTCCATCCAAAATACACATACACTTATGGACTGATTTCTTCACACAACATAAACTGACTATAATTTGAAAGGTAGAAATTTTTTTCGATCATTCTAGAGAGTAACTACTCTGTACGCCTTAATCTTCAATGTAACTGTGTGGGAATGAATATTGAGACATTGAGAAGCTACCTGTGCGTATGGGATTGACATGGCTAGAAATTTTGATTTTTCTTTTCTAACCTTCTAACCATGTTCAACTAGAAGGATCAGCATTCATTCACAATAGATTAACATCAAACCTTAAGCAAGGTTGAGAAATGGAGTGATTCTAAATAATTTTAAGCATCATGCTGAATTATATGTACCGCAGCCTTTAGTGACATTTGAGTCAAATATATATTTTATACTAGTGTTACAATGAGCACACATTGATGATACTGATTATATCAGTAATTGAGATCCTCTCATTAAAGATTGTATGTAATAGAGATCTATATTGAAAGAGAGCTCTAGACCTAAGAATCTACTAAATACCTCTGAGAGTCTTAATACTCTGAGATCTTTATTCTCTGAACTCTCTATACTTAAGAGTCTATTCTGAAAGAACTCTATATTGAAGAACTCTATATCTGAGAAAGCTCTACTATCTCTGAGAGACTCTATACTCTGTATCTGAAAAGCTCTATACCTCTATATACATATTTCTCAGATATAGAGACTCTCTGAGCATAAAGACTTCTCAGGTATAAAAACCTCTAAATAGAGCTCTCTTTCAATGTGCGTCTCTATTTATACAACTTTCAATGAAGATCTCAATTACTAATACAATCAGTGTCATTGATGTGTGCTCATTGTAACACTGTATAAACCTACTTGACTCAAATGTCACTATAGGCTGCTGTAATAATTGATGTGTGTTCTATATAATGAGTATTGTAAATAAAATAAAATAAAAAAAGAAATAGAAAAAAAAAAGGAAAAAAGAAAAAAGGGCGTACAAATGCCTGAATTAAAATTTAAATTAACTATATTAATATTGTATGATTACCAAGGGGAATATATCTGTAGAGATCTGCATAGAACGGGGAAGGATGGGGACCAGGCTTATAAACAAAACTGAGAGAGTATGGCAACCAGTTGAAAGGAATCCAAAGGAGCCATAGCAAAATATTAGCTACATAATATGGTATCATAGGGGCCCGCAAAAGCTGAAATAAAGGATTAAAAAGTAAATTACTTTCCTTGCAACATAACCGTGTTTTTCGGGATATATACTTGTCAAGGAGCGAAGAAAAAAACAGTGAGAGACACAATTAAATACTCTTGCTTGAGGGCAGGTCTCAAAGCAGGGTAAACGCTGCTGCAGCCATTGCAGCAGCGCTGAAAAAGTATTTTGATGATGGAATGAGGATAGAGTTTGCGCTACTTGGGAAGTCAATCGGGGGGGAATCGCTAGGGCTCCCTCCAGTTGGACCCGATTCAGTTGGTGACATTTCGTCTCCACCTCGACTTGATTGTGTGGGACTATTTGATACCGGAGGAATTTCACTTGGTGGATCTGTGGTGGCAGTTGGAGTAGTTCCAGCCCCAGTTTCCGTCGGCGGTGTGGTTTCCGACGGGACATCGGTAGGACTGACAGTGTCGGATGGGTCATTTGAGGGCGGAGTTGTGGGAGGTTCTGTGGGAGGTTCTGTGGGAGGTTCTGTGGGAGGTTCTGTGGGAGGTTCTGTGGGAGGTTCTGTGGGAGGTTCTGTGGGAGGTTCTGTGGGAGGTTCTGTGGGAGGTTCTGTGGGAGATTCTGTAGGAGATTCTGTAGGCGTTTCTGTAGGCGTTTCTGTAGGCGTTTCTGTAGGCGTTTCTGTAGGCGTTTCTGTAGGCGTTTCTGTAGGCGTTTCTGTAGGCGTTTCTGTAGGAGTTTCTGTAGGAGTTTCTGTAGGCGTTTCTGTAGGAGTTTCTGTGGGGGATGGGTCCGGTGTTGAGGTAGGAGTAGTAGTGCTTTGCGCCGGGGGTGGGGATGTTTCACCTGGCGGCGCTTCACAGATATCTAATATGCTCACGAAGTTCGGAGCTTTCTCTCGTAGCTCTTTTTCAGGATCCTTTGTATTGGCTTGGATAGCAATGCACCGATGGCATGCTTCTAGACGTGCCTTAAATGCCGAGTTCTCGACGCAGATGACGGCTGCAAGCAAGCTATTTTCGGCTTCTAAGCCGCTAGCTTGGCACTGAAAATAGCAGGCGCGAGGCAACGTATTGCCAGTTTGTCTTCGCTGCAGGGTCGAATATTTTGTCGCGTATTTTGTCGCATACCCTGTTGGATACCCTGCTGTAGTATACTCTGCTGTAGTATACTGGGTCGGGTTCTGAGTTGGATATTGTGGCGGGTACTGGGTTGGAGATTGGGCTGGGTAGGATGTTGGATATGGCTCCTCCGGGGTGGAATTCCTGAACTCGAAGATATCATAGTCCAGTCCAAATAGTCGAGGATTAAGGTAGTAATAGTGTGGTGAGACGATAATTTTGTCCGATGAATCAGGATCCCAGTCGTCTTGGAAGGGTTCAAGAGGAGGGGGGTCATGGCACTCCTCTGGACTGCAGAAGAATTCGGGTGAAGGAAGCCCAACCTCGAAGTTGCAGTCTCCATCCGCTTCATTGCGATTTGGGATGCATAACTTACCGGGAGGACAGCCCCAGATATAATCGGTAGGAACAGGAACAGTAGGTGTAAAGGTGGGGTTAACTGTGCGGGATGGACAGAGAGAGACGGCATAAGTTGCAGTCTGTGTCACTGTGTCTGTAGAACAACTGCCTGGTAAAGTTATACTTATAGTCTCGCCAGGAGCAGTCGTGGTTGTTATAGTGGTCTCAGTTGTAGTTGTAGGGACGGTGGTGACGGTAGTTTCAGTGGTAGTAGTTGGGACGGTGGTTACTGTAGTTTCTGTTGAAGAGACTGTGATGGTGTGATTCTTTGTCTCGGTGACGGTTACAGTAACTGGATAGCCGGGACGGCGGCAGGTCCGTGTATGATGATGCTTCATAGTACGAAAGTTAGCTTCATCCCGAAGCCATAGTTAGCGGTGACAGGATGAGTCCTTACATTGCACCATGAGATAAGTATCGCTGCATCAATGTCTATTAAGGCAGGACGGCCTGACTTCCCGCCAGCAGCTGCTGAGGGTTGGTTCCCTATATTGACCCCTACCTTGACCCCGATGTTATCATTCTGAGCATTTCCCGGTAGTACGCACATGGAGGCCCAGGTCAAAGCAAGCAGGAGTAATGCCATGATGAAGACCTATGGGGAGCGCCCAAGTACGCGAAGGAGGTTGAATGGCCGACCACCCTGCTGTTGCCCGTGAACAGAAGAACAGGCCCGGCGAAAAGGCAAATTTATCTTCAAGACAAATAGCAAGAGTGAGAAAGAAAATGGGAGGAAGATCGGATGAGTAGATGTTGTTATACTTTCGAAAGTGACATGAATAGGGGAAGAAAGGGGAGTAGCAACAAATTGATAGCATGAGACGGGAAAGGGGAAGAGCGGCTTCTTGATTTTTCAATTTATTTATTTTTTATTATTTAATTTATTTTTTCTCAATTGAACTGAAAATTCAAGCTGCATTAGCTTCACTGCATCTCGAATGGAAGCTGACAATGTGAGAGCTCTCTAGGCGGGTTTGAGGGAGGGTCATTTGGGGCTCAAAAATAGGCGACGTCCCGCATTCGCCAAGGCGGCTAAATTTGCCCTAAGCTTTCAATGATCCCCGTCTGGTACCTACGCTGGGCAGGCCTGAAATGGGCGAGCCTGGCTTTCCGCCATTTGTTGATCAGCCAAGAATGATTTTGTCTCGCTGCACGGACTATCCAATGATAGGCCTTTTTAAAAAGGTTCCTGTTAGGAAGCGTGTTTAAGCTGATGTCTCTATTCAATTAGAAGGCATAGTAAACAAGACCAGTAAGAGTGACTTAAGTCGCGGATGTAGCAGCGAAGCACGGACAGGGGGGCCACAACTTTTGGGCAGCAGTGGTACGGAGGTACAGCACAATTTCGTTCTGGTGAGAAACCCAGGAGGGGCTCTCGTCAAGCACATATCGAGCCAGAGCACGGCCTGCAGCTAGAGGTGCGCCTTGATTTTAGCTGCAGCGTGGCGCACCAAGAATGGACGTGGGGAGGAACAGATGGGATGTTCTCCGCCTCCCACCGGGAAACTGAAAATGCATATCATTTTAGTCATGGAGCCTATGTAGCTCCGACGGGCTCTCAAGTATCTCAAATCAGATTTGGGTTAGCTGATAGAAGCGCTAAAAGGGGTTAAGGCTGAAAATGTGTTCGGAAGGCTGTCATGGAAGATATTGTTGAGGTGCAAAGCTCGGACACGCTGATCCTAGACCAGACCCACGTTCAAAAAAAGCCAGCTCTCTCGGGGAATGGTGATGTTGATGTCGCACACGATTTTAAATCCAGCCACACTACACAGTAGACTTCCATCCATGGTTACATGGCTTCTTTTTGGCCGAATACACATGTAGCCACAGACGGTTCGAGTAAATGCGGCCTGAGAAGGATTCATTGACCTGGACGCTGGAGCCCATTTACCTAGACCCAGCACCGATACGAGCTTGATGGCCACTCATCCGCCAACTGTTTATGGGAGCCTCGGGAGGGCACGCAAACAACGTAGACCAAGGCTAGCAGTGAGGGGAAGAGGGGCGATAATCCTGGACGCTCGTGGAGATGGTTACGCTGTGCGGACATGGATAGACGTTGGATACGTGTTTTGGTTTTGAGAGCGCTTGTGCTCGCGACCGCGGATCAAGGTTGTTGCGGCCCGGCGGAGACGAGACTAATTTAGTTAAACAACCACCGAGCAGGACCTTGACACTGACTACGGAGTACTCTACAGAGTACTACACTGTTGACATGTTGACACCCAGTCATCCTTGTTCTTGAGATATGATATTCCCACATAGATCGTCGGATATGCCCGATTTGGGCCTAGTGAGTTGCTTGCGGCGTGCTTGGGGCCTGCAGGCTGGAAGGGAGAACGCCCAACTTGTTCAATTACTGATGATGGCTGCATTGACCCTCCAACCGGCCCGGCCTTCCAATGCTGTGCCGCACTTTACGCCCGTTTTCGGGGGCTATCCCAGCCTATCAGACCGAGCCTGCTGCAGGTGCGTTGTGCGCTTCACAGCAGACTCAAGAGTTAGTACGCAGTAGATGTCGGTGCAACCGTCGCCCACTAATATTATTCCTCTTGTTCGTCCTCCCCTCACACCTCAAGGAAGGGGACCTCGCATCTCACATCTGCCTGTGTAACTCTGGGAGGTATTGCGCTGATGTTGTGGTCGAGGTTCTTGGGATTCATGTAGCTATCCACCCCAAGATCTTAAAACGGACCAAGTCTCCGTCAGCAACCATCCCAGGATGTTGGGGGTCCCGGGTTGATCGGCCCTTCTACCAGCAGTGCGCTGGTGGTGACTGAGCTCTTTTGCCCCAGTAGCCTACAGGTTATGAGACCATTTAGCGTGAGCCCCGCTGTGGTCAACATGCATGGGTTCAATCCCAGAATGGACTTAAATTCCAAACAAATACCCCGGACATTTAACAGTGTCAAGAGACATCCTAGGAGTGTGCCCTAGAAGTCCCTCGAGCCCTAGGACTGAGTCCACTGAGAGGAGCCACTAGGAGGAGCCACTGAGAGGAGTACTGTACTCTGTGGTAGCTGGTCCGAGGGGGGGTGTTGGGGGTCCCGGGTTGATCGGCCCTTCTACCAGCAGTGCGCTGGTGGTGACTGAGCTCTTTTGCCCCAGTAGCCTACACAGGATATCCGGTGGTCTGGGCGATGACAAACATTACCACCCAAGGCTTTTATTTCAGCCATTTTGCCACAGATCTGTTGGGGGTCCCGCGGTTGATCGGCCCTTCTACCAGCAGGCGCTGGTGGTGATTGAGCTCTTTTGCCCCAGTAGCCTACAGATTATGAGACCATTGAACGTGAGTCCCGCTGTGGTCAACATGCATGGGTTTAATCCCAGAATGGACTTAAAAATTCCTAACAAATACCCTGGACATTTTAACAGTGCCAAGAGACATCCCAGGAGTGTGCCCTAGAAGTCCCTTGAGTCCTAGGACTGAGTGGTCCAGTCCATTATTAAACAGGAGCCATTGTGGGGAGACCACTGAAGAGAGTCACTGAGAGGAAGTGCGGGACCCCCAACACCCCCCCTCAGACCAGCTATCACAGAGTACAGTACTTCCTCTCAGTGACTCTCTTCAGTGGTCTCCCCACAATGGCTCCTGTTTAATAATGGACTGGACCACTCAGTCCTAGGACTCAAGGGACTTCTAGGGCACACTCCTGGGATGTCTCTTGGCACTGTTAAAATGTCCAGGGTATTTGTTAGGAATTTTTAAGTCCATTCTGGGATTAAACCCATGCATGTTGACCACAGCGGGACTCACGCTCAATGGTCTCATAATCTGTAGGCTACTGGGACAAAAGAGCTCAATCACCACCAGCGCCTGCTGGTAGAAGGGCCGACCAACCGCGGGACCCCCAACAAGATCATGACATACAAAGCATTCCATAAGCAAAGCCGCCCGGTCACGAACCATGGCGAATTCTTGCTGCTACGTCTGTTTTTCCCGAGGGGTACAGAGCACCTCGTGTTCAATCATCGCTTAAAACAAATCATTCAGTCGTTGACACGACGACCGACTTTCAGACAGTACCTCTGTCCACGAGCTGCAAGCCATCACTCCCAGGATTATTTTCTTTGCCCGTGGGAAGAAATGTGGAAATTAACATGTAGATGTTTCCAGGAATGAAAGGCAGCCACACACTAGTCTGTCCATGCGCATGAAATGGGCATAAGCCTGGGTGATCACTTGGGATCGGTGAGGTGATACAAAACGAATTCAAGCTGTTATTAATAATAATTTGGATGATGGATCAAACATTTGTTCGACTGCCATCTCATGCGAAAAAGCTGGAGTGAGATGGATCTTCTAGCCAATACTTATTAAACCGACAACAGCGAGCGTCGTAAACTAGCCAATATGAGATGGATGAAGAAGCAGGGCTTCAGGTCCATTGGAATCACCACCCACTCAGTATTCGGTATGCCTAATATGGCATCTCCAAACAATATTGTCTTATCAAAATTAGCTTCTGGGACCATTTACAAAAAGAAATTCATGGGTCACTAAATACCTGCAGCGCAATTCGGGTGAAAGAGATAATATTCCCAACACAGCACCAAAATCGCGAACGACAGTCATGACATGGATTTGCTAAACTCATCAAAGGGAAATGGACACGGAGACCCCTGTCACTAGTCAAAGACCGCGGCCAAGCTCCTTCATCCACGCTGATTGGGGCGACGGATTCAGCCGCCTACTCTGTTTAGCATCTGGCTCCCGCACCTGCGAACCCGAAGTCGAAGCTCCAAGACCGTCTAGCTGTTCCCAGCTTTCTTTCCTACCATTTATTGTCAAATTGTAAATGTCTTGAACTGAATCCAAATATAAGACTATTGTCCATTCATCAAGCGCCACCTCTTCTACTGTGGCTACCAAGCCAGTACTATACCAAACTCTACGGAGTACGCCTGCCGATATTACTATATGCCCCGCGTTTAAGAAAACTCGAGTAACGAGGACTAAAACTATCCGCTCCACCTGGCGCCTATTGTTCCATCACTCTGCTTTCCGTCTCATCTCCGGGCTCAGCTTCCTTACCTTATCACGCTACAGTAATATGAAGGTCGCAAGGCGATACTGAACGCAAATTTAGTCCAGAAAGTCGCATTTTACATTTGAGTTTGTCTTGTTCAGCATCCCTAAAGGTTGACCTACAACTTGGCGTATCTTTCGATGGTCATCAAAAAACTACCCCTGTTCATCGGGATTCATCCTCTTGTATGAGATATGAGATTCACTGCGTGGCTCTGCTTTTAACCCTTTCTTCATACCCTATTCTTTACTTTACAGACCTCGATCCGAAAATATCCCAATGGCGCTACGGTGGATAATCGCGACTACAGCCTTTTCTGCGCTTTGGAAGGGGACCACTTCACAAGGACCCCAGGTTGAGGTTAATAAAACCATTGCTACTTGGCCTCTCTTAAGAGGTAAGTTTACCATGCCAACAAATGGATGCGCCGTGGTTTAACCTCCAGATGCTCTACATTTTATCTTCGATTTCTTCTCCAAGTCCTCTATTAATACTTGGTTAGCGAATATCATCCGCGATACAATTTACCTCGATGGTGGACAAATGTCTTGGCAACGGTATTAACCTATCAGTCGCGGATAGCTTGCTTTTGTGATGCTGACTTGAACTTTCCTATGAAGGGGCTACTCGGATGGTACCTATGGACAGTTTGAAATAACCAGTGATTCCTTACCCTATCTGTGTCCTATATTTTATTGCAGTTTCTAACCACATCGCAGATCTTGCCGATGGCTATGCCTTCACACTTAACTTGTCTGTCCCATTTGACACTACAAAAGTTCACTGGACAACCCTTTTCGGCAATATGTCAAGTGTTTCGGGGGCTGCCAATAATATTTTCCCAAACTTCTTCTCGGGAACGATGTTTGCAAATGATTATATGTTCTATTTATATGGGTACGGTTCAGGCTTTGGGCATATTAGAGACTTTGGTTAGCTAACTGAGACAGCGGCCTCACTACAATCACGGATACAAGTAGCCCTCCCGAGGCAGATAGAGTACTAGCATATGAACGAGACCAGTATGGCCCTGCGAGGATCAGATGGAGGCCTGGATTCCGTTTTGATAGAACGAACAACGGTGTCACCCGCTATATTACCCACGGTGCCGGGGTCTCAGTGCCGAGTGAGAACAAGGGCTTTTACTTCAGTGGAAAGCGTGGAGTGAACTGGGGAGAAATTCAAAATCCTGTGCCGGCTGCGAATATAACTGCAAATAGCCTAATTTCTATCGATATGTCCAAAATGATCGATCCAGAATGGTCAAATTCCAGCTTTCCAGATTTTATTCCGGGTCGGGCTGCTGGAGAGTTGGTATGGATTCCGGTTTCCACATCAGGAGCGCTTATTGCGATAGGCGGAGTGCCATACCCCCAAGACATCTCCGTTACCCCAGCAGATAATATCATGCGTGACATAAGGGAGAATGTAAGCAGCCGGAGAACAATTTACACCTTGCAGTCAGGTCATATATCCCTGCTGGGAATACTTTTTACTTACTACTTCCATAGAATCGAACGGGACCCGGGTTCATGCGCAGCGTGCCCATATATGATATTGGCAACGGGAAGTGGTAGGTTTGGTTTACCAATGACTTTCAGTACATCTGAATCTCCATTGATTGCTTATATTATTCTATTTTCAGGTATATGCAAAATACCACGGGAGATTATCCACCAACGTTGGCTCATTTCTGTTCCATTGTTGCCGCGGCACAGGATGGTAGTTCGTACAATGTTTATATTTACGGAGGCTACAGTGGTAGCGACTATTCGGAATTTTCTTACGATAATGCTTACATACTTTCGGTCCCGTCCTTTACATGGATCCATGCATATGATGGAGATAGGAGAGTAGGCCGCCACGGACACAAATGTGTTAAAACATATCCCGATAAAATGTTTGTGATTGGTGGCGTGGAGCGATATGTGGAAGATCGAATACCTATAATCCGTGTTTTCAACCTCAATACTTTAAGGTTCCAAGATACCTACCATCCAGAAGAATGGAGTGAGTATGAAGTGCCAAACTTGGTGACCGCGAAGATTGGTGGAAAGTAAGTGATATTTGAATGATGTTCTTGTTGACTTTGACAGGTGCTGATTTTGTCGATAGTGCCAAGGGTGGTGCAACAACTCTTGAACCTTCGTCGTGGGGTCATGACGATTTACGTGACTTATTTGGTACCAAGTATACGAAACCCATCGAGACTTACTATCCCTACCCTCTGTATAACTCTTCCAGGCCAAGCCCTACAAAGCCACCCGAAGACACCAACGGTGGTGGTGGAAATGGTAGCGGGCTTCCCAAATGGGTTGCTCCAGTGCTGGGTGTTGTTTTGGGCCTGATATTTGTAACAGGCCTGGCTGTACTTTGGCTCCTATGGCGCCGGCGACGGGATAGGGTGTATGCAAGCAGCGAAGGGGTTATCAGTGATAACAGGAAACGGATTATGGGGTGGATGTACGGAATGGGCTTACCGACCCAGAAAACCAATATGACAATGGCCTCTACGGAGATTGGAATCAATGACAAACATACGTCAGCAGCTGCGTTTTCCGAAGTGGGCGATTCAGTGACAACTGCGGCTCCGCATTCGGGAATGGTGTATTCAGACCCAAAGGCACAAGAGGCTGGTGGGGCGCAGGTACATGAAATGCAAGGTAACTATGTCAAGAAATTCCTCGGCCCATCTCCGTTGAACGTGGCCCATGCTGACCTGTTTTCTTTTTAGCTGGACATGTCTCTGCGCCTCTTGAACTACCAACGGAATACAATGTCGCGCCCACCACAACTCGCGCACGAGTAGTTAGCGACGCTTCAACCTTTAGAAGTCCAGTTTCCCCGGAACCTCCTTCACCCCAGCCAAATCCAACTTTTCCTTCCCAACCTACCCATGGCCGGAATAACTCGTCTCTCTCGAGCACTGCGTTCAACCTTTCCACCAGTAACGCCCCAATAACGGAAGAACAGAGTTCGCAGAGACGCGGATACGTATCTGGGTTTACTGAAGACCTCCCAAATCCAGAGCCTGAGCCGACGGGCCGCACGAGCAGGCTTTCATGACGCTATTTCGCCAATTATTTTCCTTCTCCTTTCAGTCGGTATTTTCCGCTTTGATTCTAATCTTTTATGGCCGATCTATAAATGCTTTGCATTACGGTGATGGATATGATTTTCGCATTATATTTTACGTAGTTCCTCTCAAGCCGCGCCGAATTTGCCCGGAGTTTCTAACCAAGTCGATATATATCTCGGGGGTAGTTTCCCACGTCTCGGCAATTCCCGTATTTTGCCAACTCTGTCTACCTACACTCCATTCCTGTTTACTCCCTACCTCATCCCAATCATTTATTCCGGAAACTGGTTTTATAGTTGAAGATTTAGGTTTGCACTTGCCTCGAGAGATATTTCCCGGCTAGCTAGCGCATTATAAATCGGGATATGCATTCTGATATTGCCACTGGGAACAGGTAGTCAAGATTGATAATACAAAGGCTAGAATGAATAATATTAATCCTGTGTTACTGTAGTAGAAGAGATAAATTCCTCGCTCCTGATCTTGTCCTACTAATAATGGACTTATGACGTTAAAAGCATGTATTACAGTTCTAGTGCCGGGTAATCTAACAGGAACTACTTTTATCTTACCTTGCAAACTCGAAAACGAGAATATATTGTTATATCGATAGATACCATAAATGCAAAATGAAATCCAGTATTCTATATCAAAACAAATGGGGTGTGCTAAAGAACAAAATAGATCCAAAGAAACAGCATGCACAAAAGAGTGTATCCGCCATTTATAGTGGCGAAAAGAGAGACAAACCTCCACCCTTTTTCAAATTCTAGCAAGGAAAGAGGCTTCCAAGTCACCGCCACGGCCACCCACACGGACCCATTGATTATTATGCGGCCTGCTTAAGACACTCTTAATCTGCTCCACGGTGACCTGCCTTACTTCCGTGGCAGGGTTATAACTCACCCCTGAAACCCCGGAGACCTCATTATCGGTCATGGGAGCATTTGCCAACCCATCCGCGCGCTTATACACAGACACCACAGCAACACCGTCTAGGCCCAGATTATGCTGCAGGGCCACAGTTGTGTACGGCGCAAGTCGATTATTCGCCCACCCTCTGAGTTGCCAGACCAGCTCTGCGCATTGAGCGAGCCCGGTGGCGCCTAGAGGGTGGCCCTTGGATATCAGGCCGCCGGATGGGTTGACGACTACGCGACCGCCATGAGAGATGTTTCCGCTGCGGACGAATTGGCCAGCCTTACCGGGCTCGCATAGTCCCAACGCATCGATGGTGGCCAGCTCGTTGGCGGCGAAGCAGTCGTGCAGCTCGCAGACGCCTACGCGTGCGACTGGCGTGTTTGCTTCTGCGAGCGCGGCGACGACCGCACGCTTTGTCATCTGGAATCCGACGAGATCCATGGACGAGGATCCAAATGTCTCGGCTTGGTCACTAGAATTCTGTAAATCGGGCTGGATCGCAAGACGTATTTTTTTTTCTTTTTTTTTTTGTGGGGGGGGGGGAAGAGGACCAGGGATTTCCAAGAGAGAGAGTTGCTTACGTGACTATTGCTTGCCCTGCGATTTCAATAGCTTTGCTCTGGTGCTCGGGATGCTTGTGCAGCCACCGTTCTGACACAAGGACAGCAGCAGCAGCGCCGTCGGAAGTCGGGCAGCTTTTTTGCCATTGGAAGGAGATATTAGTAACGGTTACGGTCCCGCGCTGCGTAGACAGCCAAACTAGGCGGAAAAACTCACCATTGCAGCTTTGTGACTGGGCCATAAAGTGCGGGGCTCTTCTTGATCTCATCGAGTGTGTATATTGTCTGGAATTGGCTGTAGGGGTTCTTCGCACTGTTTAGGTGGTTGACTCTGGCTATTTCGGCTAGTCTGGTACAGCATCATGTCTTGATAGCAAAAAGAGATTGATTAGTTGCACACGGGAAGGATGCTTCGAGCGGAACACGGAATAAGAAAAAAAAAAGGCAGTGTAATTAATACTTTTCAATATATTCCAACCCTGCATTGCCGAACAGGCTGATGTTTCCCGGCTCGCTGTTTGGGTTGAGGTCGAACATCTTCTCAGCATGGAGGCCCTACGGCACGGATCGGTCGGTGAAAAACTTCTTCAGGCGACCAGCCATCATTTTTCAAAACCAATGACCAAAGCGATATCTGCGCCACCCAGGCTGAGGGATTGGCGAGCAAGATAAAGACCTGACGAGCCAGTCGTGCAGGCATTGTTGACGTTGATAATCGGGATACCGGTCATACCTGTTTCTCCCATTATATCGTATAGTACGGAGTGAGTAAGTATGGGATTCCATTCCTATACGGAGCAGGAGGGAAATGAAGCGGGCTATCTATACCGAACTGGTAGAAGACTCTCTGGCCCGAAGTCGAGTCGCCATAGGCATAGCAGGCAAAGCCCTGTTCAACTTCATCGTAAGTGATTCCAGCATCTAGAAGGGCTTTTGTGCCAGCCTCAAGGCCCATCTGGGGATAATCTCTCTTGGGGTTTGGCTTGAGGAAAGGCGACATGCCCACGCCTAGCACATAGACGCGATCGCCAAGTTGGCGCCGTGATTGGGGCGCCATTGTTGCGGGGAATAGATGCGATTTGTAGCTGTGGAAGTGGTACCCGACACGGAAAGACAAGGAAATTCTACGGTGACGATGGCATATTATATAGTTAGTTATAGCACAGGACAGATAACTAATAGCTAAAAAATCGAAGCCTGAAGATAAACAAATCGAACGACTATTATAGCCAACCCGGTTCAAGTTTTCCATCCTCCGCTTCGGAAGTTTGTCGAGAGTCTACAGATTACAGCTAACGTACTGCGTAGTTACTCCATTGTAGTTAAACAAAGAGCCGGCTGTAGCCTGGGAGTTGGTAGATAGCCGGAGCGGCGACGAGGTTGCGGGTATGGGGTAGATAATATTTTAATATTGTGGAATATTTTTTGGAGCGGTTTTGGCTTTGAGAGCGATTGTGAAGACCTTGCAAGTTGCAAAAGGCAGAGCCGGACAGCCAAGAGCCAATCCGCGGGCCGAGGTGTGTGTGTTGTGTTGTGTGTTGTGTACGCATATATGTTTCTGTTTGTACGGTGGTGAGCGGGTGAGATAGGTAACTAGTTAACTTATTAGAGAGTTCGATATTCTTTCTTGTCTAGACTCATAGATCCACAGGTCAGAGGCATATAAATAATAATAATAAAGACGCCATCATCCCTTCTTCTCGCTCGCCTGGCGAGAAATGAGAGTAGAATTAGTTTAGTAGAATTAGTAGAATTTAGCAGAATTGGCCCGTTCTAACTATTTACCTGGGAATGGACGAGATGAGGAGGTGAGGTTGAAAAAAGAGTGCTTAGTCAACTCTAGCATCAGAATCTCTCCAACACAACACACACAACGACACATATAAGTTATACTAACCATAGCTATTATTATTATAGACAGAGTATAGATACGCGGCTTAGCATATCTAACCTCCCTCTCTGTCTTCTCACCCGTTTGGATCCTGCCATGTGTTGGAATTATGTATGTACGTTCAGCGTGTTCTTGTACAGTAACTAAGTAGTTATCCACACCCAGAAGAGAGGAGAAAATGCTCATTCCAACAATGCGAGTTAGCCTCGGACCCTGACTGCTCGCGGATCAACTTGGGTGGGGGGACATAACTATATTAATTGGACATTGAATGCCCCGGCGGCCCTATCTCTCAATATTACAGAGTATGCTGCTAGCTGCCATCACTAAGTTAAGTTACCCTATTAAGTTATTAGTCGGCGTTGATAATAGGCACAGACACAAGATACCCATAACTTTCTGAGCGTGGGACCAAACCAACCGCAATAATGACGCCAGGATCAATCTCCAGCAAGCCGCGAAGAGTGGTTTCAATGCCACATGAAAAATTCGGCAAAAATGGGCCAGAAAACATGCGCCAGCCTAGGTTACAGAAGCTTGTCTCCCGCCCCGGGGCTCTTCTCCTCCAAAAACTGCTGAGTCAGTAAGTTAGTAACTAACTTAGCCGGCCGCTAAACTGCCGCCAATTCGTCCCCAGAAAACAGCTGCCCGCACTCCCCAAGAGAGAAGCGATGGTCGCATGGAGCCCGCAGAGGGCAGTTATATATAATATAATATCCAATATATATCACCGGATGGACCTTGACCTGAGAGGCGCTCTTCTTCTCCCCTTTCAAGCTCTTTCAATCACCAAGGTGCGCGCCCTCGAAATTGGCCTATATGCCTGGAAAGTGTGAGGCAGTTAAAAGCCGCTGGGAACCTCTAGTCCATAAGTTAATTATAACTTACATATATCTATCTACATACCATTACCACCCAGCGCAGACAACCACAAAGGACAACAGAGAGGAATCCCCAGCTCAGCTTCAATTATATCTTATTTGATCATCCTTTCAACGTTTGTACGCTTTTATTCCTTCTCTTCTCTTCTCTTCTCATTTCTTCTCCTTCCCTCGTGGCTGCCGTCTTTCACGGCGCCTGCGCTTCTCCTCCTCCTTCCCCAAGCTCTCTCCTGGTTGGTCGTCTCCTTCCTCCGCTCATGGATAAACAACAATAACAACAACAACTACCTACTACTACTACTACTGACAGATAAATAATCTTCCTCCCCCTATATTGTTTATCTCTCCTCCTCGCCTCTTCTTATCCTCTTTTCCCTCTTGATATATCAACCGTTCCTCGTTCGTTTACCTCCCTCAAGCTGAGCATCATCATCAGCCAATAGCATTACCACTGGTATATCTTCCTCTTCGTCTCTCTCTCGATTCGCCTATCCTACCTACAGCCCAGTTGGAAAGCTTCTGTTACCTTTTTTCCTGTTTAGTCCTCTGCTTGGGCCCACAGTCTCTCGTTTCATCACAGACAGAGCAAGCCATCTCACTGTCAAGGATCCTCCCACCTAGTTAGATAGATCCTCTCGACGCTGTCCTGCCCTGCTGGTCTTGGTTTTTCCATTTTAGTAAACTGTTGCTGTTGATACGCCATTTTTTGTTCCTCTAGCACGCCAATTGATCGCTATGGCTTCTCCGTTGTCTTCCACCCCGGTTGAGATTTTGGAGAGCCCTTTGGCTCCGGCGCCCGCAGCAAATACCGTCCTAACCCCGCTACAATGGAAAACGCTCATGGCCCTGGCGGACACTGTTATCCCCTCAATCAGACCAAAAAGTGCCGGAGGGTGCCCGAGTGACTGTATGATCAATGATGCTGAGTTTGCCATTGCATCTCATAACCTTATGTCCATCCATGAAGGTTCTGCACACTCCGATGTTGCCGTCCGCTTTCTCGCGGAAAATGCGTCTTCTGTTCCCGGATTCAAAGAGAGCATGTGTCGTGTTCTCGGTCAGCAAGTCCCGGACGAAGCTAGGCGCGGCATCAGCGTCATCCTCAACGCCCTTAATAGTCGCCCCGTTTCCCTCGCCTTGACCGGATATGCTGCCCCTATTCAGTGTCAGCCCTATCCTATTCGCGAAGCAATTTTTCGGGGCTGGGCTACTTCAGTTCTTCCACCAATGCGCACCGTATATCGTTCATTGATTGCGCTCTTCCACAAGGCGTGGATTCCCTTGAGTCCGACGCTCCCTGCTCTTGTTGGATTCCCTAGAGTACCGGTCGGTTTCACTACCGCTGAAGGTTATCCTTACGAGTTTCTGCAACTCCCTCCTGGCGACAATACCGAAGCTATCTACGTAGATGTGGTCATCATCGGTAGCGGCTGCGGTGCCGCTGTGGCGGCAAAAAATATTTCGGAAGCAGGCCACAGTGTCATTGTGGTTGAAAAATCTTATTACTGGTCAGAGAAGCACTTCCCCATGACAATGAAGGAGGGAACCTCAAATTTGTTCGAAAACGGGGGCGCCACTGTTTCTGATGATGGCTCGGTTGCCGTCATCTCGGGTTCCACATGGGGCGGGGGCGGAACGATTAACTGGTCGGCATCGCTGCAGACACAGAACTATGTTCGTCAAGAATGGGCAAAGAAGGGGATGCCATTTTTTACCTCTTCGGAATTTCAGAAATCCCTTGATCGTGTCTGTGAGCGCATGGGCGTTAATACAGAGCATGTTAAACACAACAGTGCGAACCGTCTCCTACTTGAGGGTGCACGAAAGCTAGGTTATGCTGCCACGACAGTCCCTCAAAATACGGGCAATCAGGAACACTCTTGCGGACACTGCACCCTGGGGTGCGGATCTTGTGGGAAGAAGGGGCCCCAGGTGACATATTTGGCTGACGCTGCTCGCGCAGGAGCGCAATTTATCGAAGGTTTTCACGCTGATAGAATATTGTTTAGAGAGGGCAATGCTGGGAACTGTCTTGCTCATGGCGTTGAAGGAACTTGGACATCAAGAGACATCAACCAGGGCGTCTGTGGAGAGCCGGTTATTAAGCGCAAGGTGGTAATCAAGGCCAAAAAGATCATTGTGTCTTGCGGTTCCTTGCAAAGCCCCCTGTTACTGCTTAGAAGTGGACTGAAAAATCCACAAATTGGGCGTAATCTGTACTTGCATCCAGGTGAGTCCATGCCCTAGTTGGCTTTCCTGAGTGTCAAGTTGAGTTTTCATATGAGTGCTAACGGTTTGACTTAAATCATGAAGTTGTTATCCTGTCTGCAGTATTTGGGCAAGAAATGAAGCCATGGGAAGGCAGTATTCTCACCTCGGTGGTAAACGAATTTGAAAATTTGGATGGCCACGGCCACGGGGCAAAGATCGAAACCCTAACGACAGTCCCCTCGTTCTTCCTCCCAGTCTTTCCTTGGAACAATGGACTTGAGTATAAACGCTTTGTCTCAAACCTTCGTAACATGGCCGGGCTTATCACCCTCACCCGCGAACGATACGGCGGGAGAGTTTACCCCGATCCCGTCGATGGAAGATGTAGAATTTCGTATACCCCATCCCATTTCGATAGAAAGAACATGATTGAAGCAGTTATTGGAGCTGCAAAAATTGCCTACGTTTGCGGCGCTCAAGAAATCTACACTACTAGTCGCGACATTCCAACGTTCATTCGCCCTGAGCGTCTAGCAACTGAGGCTTGCGGCCCCGAAGCAGGTATCAATCATTCCGCATTCCAAGCCTGGGTCAAAAAAGTGCGCCATACCTATTCTCCATTGACCCCCGAACACACCGTTTTTGCAAGTGCCCATCAGATGGGTACCTGCCGTATGGGCACGTCACCGAAAACTAGCGTCGTGGATCCTAGTGGAAAGGTCTGGGGAACCGAAGGGCTTTACGTCGCTGATGCGTCTGTTTTCCCAAGCGCTAGCGGTGTGAATCCGATGATAACGAACATGGCCATTTCAGATTGGACCAGCCAGAACATTGTGAAGGTCCTTCACGGTGAGAGGGTTCCTAGTGGCCCGCGACTGTAGAGAAGCGATCTGAAACGCTCGCAACCGAACAATCTGTCAGATAAAGCGATCATGTAATATACGACTTACCTAGAGTGGAGTCTACCCAGACCGATGATGGCATTGTTCCGTCCAAAGCTGGGAGCTAGCTAGGCGGTGGATCTTCCTTCTCCTCTCCTATTATTATCTCAACACCACCGCTCTTTTGATTTCTTCCTCACCCCCCATCATGTATATAGCCTGGGTAGATGAAGAACAGGTATTATTATGGACCAAAAAGCTCACTATTTCCTTTTTATAGCAGAAAGTAAGGAGTGCTCGCATACAAGCGACAGTAGGCCTGCAACAAGGGTGAAAAGCCCACGGGTGAGGGCGTCCACATCAATGGAGCTCAAGGGGGGGGTAGCAGAGTATCAAGATATTGGAACAGGAAGGCCAACGGAAAAGAAGAGGAATTCTAAGGAAAGGGCTCCTGTTGGTATCACACAGTCCCAACACTGTGCTGCCAGTGCAGAGCAGCCAACTTGGCAGACATATACATGTTCATAACATCCATCCTATCTTCTTCTATACAGGCTCTACTCCAATGGATCTGCTGAGGGTTTGTTAAGTCACGTGATTTTAGCCGCTCTCCTCCAGCGGCTCAACCCATGTTCTTTGTTCGAATAACTAACTGCTGCGTACACAGGCTTCAACGCTCTTTGATAGTGATAGTTCCTGTGGGGGAAAAAGCCTAATAATTATTAATGGGGAGCTTTGTGTGTGTGTGTGTGTGAATGGGAATTGTCAAGCCTGGCAGGTTTACTCAGCCACCTTTGTGATTGCGTGATGGGCTTCATCTAACATAAACTCCCAAGTCACTGGAAGCACCCGGCCTTTCCTCTCATTATCTGAGGCGAACTGTTGGTTGTCTCAGCACCATGGAACTTCCGCTCGATGCTATGGCTAATGCTAGATTCCAGGATGAGATGTTTGACGTGAAATGGCGTCATCACCCACGCCCACGATTACGATTCATCAGGGAGCAAAAAGGCAGCCAGGTAAAGAATATGGGAATATTCCCTCCTCTGCCGTCGCCTCCTGCAAAACTGTATAAAAAGCAGCTATATTGCCTTTATCTTTGCCTTTTCTTTTTCTTTTTATTTCTTTTTTCTTTTCTTTTCTTTCCTTTTTTCCTTGTCATAAACGTTAATTTAGACCGTTATTCTTAACGTTTTCCCCAGTCCTTTCTGCTTTTTACATACACCACCCTTTCTTGTTGTTGCACTGGCTGCATATATTCATATATACATATATACCCTATTCTTACATATTTTTAGAAAAGCTAAAGCCAACGCGGTCATCTCGCTACATGCCTACTGGTAGGTATTGCTCCGCATCCACAATTACGGGACTTGAGTTTTTTTTTTTTTTTTTGAGCTGGTTCTCATTATCCCAGAACCTGTCCTTCACATTCTATTAAAATAGCCTAGTATCCTTCTACCACCAACGCAGATCTCCCACACTCAACAGAAGGGGAACGTGGAAACTCCAACGGATCCCCACACGCCGAAGCTCAAAGCTAGCCTGGGCTTATTCAGGTTCCTCTAAAATCAGCACTCCCGTCGGATTTTTATGTCACCTAACGTATACAATGTTACAAAAGGATCCAACCAGCAAGTTAAGTGACTTGGAGAAGCGCCAGCTTGCATTCGTTTTATACAGTAGTGATGTAACTATTGACAGCGAAGTCCGTTGCCCAAAAGGGCAGAAACTATCCTCCAGTTTACTGTCGAACTCTTGGACTAGGACTAAATCATGCGCACGCCACGAGAAGCTCAAAGGCAAGCTAAGCGAGTACATATTTGACCTGATTAAGTTCGAAGTCAGCGAAAGGATCGATGACTACACCAGACAGCGCGGGAGCATTACAGAAACAGAGCAATACCTACGGCAACTAAACCACATGTGGATGGACAGTTCTAGATTTGCAAAGGAATACGGCAAGCCGACGGGAGCATGGCCTTATCAAATGAATAAGTGCGACGCCTGCATGGTTGCGCGAGTAGCACAGAATGCCATTGCTTTAAAACAGCTTAGGGCATTCCTAGAAGCTCGTGCCTTAAAGACTCGTTCCCAGCGTGAGAACGCATCCCAACCCAGACTGCTATTTTGGGCAAAAGCTTTTTTGGATTTCCATGAAACGAAGGTTAGGAATCGTCTGCCACGATCAAAATCGCTGTCCCACTCACATGATCGCCCGCGGCCATTAGCTGAATCTGTACCCGAGCGCAAGCTGAAAACAGATTGGACAGAGATGACGAGGGCTACTATCGAAAAATGGCAGGGGCTTGAAGCGTCTGCTACAGTACCTACGAACGAAACTTATTCAGGTCATGGCCTGGATTGCTATACTGCCGCAATGATAAAACGGTCAATGACTGTGGGTCGTATGGAGCATGATCGTCAACGATCTCGCCGTACCCGTCAACAATTATCCCGGAACCCATTGGCCGACAAATCCATCTCAAATATTACTGATCACTATCACACCCTCGGCCGCAGCCAGAGCCTCAGCCACCGCCGCAGTAACGAAAGTGAATATCTCATCAAAAACGATCCCAGGACGCCAGACGGCGAACCGCTCTCCAGTGGCTACAGCCAACTGGGCAATTACCCCTGTCCGGACGCGGAAGCTCCAAAATCCCGTCGCTACTCAGTCGCATCGCTTTCTTCTAACTATAGTCTCTCACCCCCCGCTACGCCGGTTATAGAGCAGCCCACGAGCCGGGGGAATCGCTATAATGATGCGCTGTTTTCGTCTGCGGCTAGTGAAACCCGTACCGCAACGGCCTCTGGGACAGCCGCGGTGTCTACTACCTGTGCAGGCGCAGGGCACTATGGCCGAAACGGCAATTGCGATACTAATCTCGAAAATGTACCCGGTCTTGAACACGATAACGATGCCCGCTATGAAAGAAAGTATAGCAGATCCGACGCGGCAAAAGTGGCACATCAGTGGGCACAAGGTTCTCAGCAGACGTCAGGCGCAGGCGATTCGGATTCAGAGTGGGACGACGATCTCGTTCATGAGAGTGATGAGGGGCATTCTCATCCTGGCGGTGAGCACCAAGATGGAGACGGTCGTGCCAATGGCGTTGGTTACGGTATTTCTAACCGGGGGCTGTGGGGTTTGGAGTCAACGCGGTCGGGAGACGATGATGGCTATAGTCATGGTTATGGTTACAATGTTGCTAATTAGGGGCCGTGTGATTTGGATTCAAAGGATCTGCCGAGCCCGGTCGAACAACCCGGAGGACTGGCACGGCCGCCTAGGCATGCAGCATCGAGTGCTTCAGTTCTAACTACGTTGAGTGGGTTACTTGAGGACCGGGGAGAGGAGTGGAACAATGCTGCTATGTCTAGACGTCGTTGAATATTGGCCATTTTCCTACTTTCTCTTTTCTGTTTGTCTGTGATTGCCTTTTTGATGCTCAAACTTGATATATATACCCAAACCGTTTACCTGTCTCTGTCTCTGTCATGGCTTTTTTGTATTGTATTGTTAGCTTTTGTAAATTACAGTACAACCACTGTGAACCGTTTACTTCTTCAGCAGAAGACAATAAGAACACTGTAAAATAATTTTAATTAATATTAGCGTCGAATTAGTTGGCTATTTTGGGTTGTAGTTTCCCTCGTGGGTGAGACTATTCAAGGCTGTTATACATACATGGCTTGGTGAAATAAAGTCAAGGCCAAGGTGAGCGGGGTGAAAAAGGGAGACCCAAAGAGAAAGGGAGACAACCTTGAAGAGAATAAGTAAATGATGTTATTTTTAACGAGTAAAACGAAGAGAAGGTAGAAAAAAAAGGTCCAATAAAAATGTATTTAGAATAGAACGGGAAGGAAGAAGAGAAAAAAAAAGATAACTATTGGGTAAAAAGGGATGGTTGTCACATAGGCGCTTCTATAATACCAATCCCGTAGAGAGAAAAATAGGGCAAATAAAAGAAAAGTATAAAGTAGCAGCTGAAAGAGGAAAAGGTGGGTCAATCCAATGATGGTGAATATGACACACGCGAAAACACCATGAATAAAGAGGCGATAAATGAGAAAAAAACGAAAAGAAAAGAAAAGTAAGAAAGGAGTAAAGTAGGTGATTTACTGTAAGGGAGGAAAGGAGGGGGGTGCCACCAAAACGTAACGAGTGAACATGACTATAACCAGATGTCGGCATTAGATAATAAAGCGGGGGGAGAATGATGTAGCGAAGAACGTAAGAGTAAAAACCAAGCAGAACAACACATATACAAGGGGCAACGAATAGAAATATTAAGCGCCATCTGGGGAATATGATTTTAATAACCAACCCTAGCCAGGGGTAGGAAGCAAAACGTTATGCACGAGGTAATGAAGGTTTGCAGGAGAATCAGAACATCAGTCCCCATTTGTCGTTCTTGTAGGTTATTAAATTTAAAGAGGGAGTATTACTTTTGTCGTATACTCCCGTTGAGCCGATGGCTGACGGCGGCTTTCATGCCGTCCGTCTGTGGAGAAAATGAAACAGTTTTCCGTCGAACGCTACGCGATAACAGATTCCGTGAAACCGACTCATCCTCTTCTCTAACAGGTGCTGGGTCTGCTTGGACATCGGCGGATGCTCGCTTTTCATTTTCTTCGTCGACTAATTTCTGTGCTGCATTACGTGACCGTTCATATCGAAGAGTGACGTCACCACCCGTCCAACGGGTATTCAGGAACCGGTCCCAAATGGTGAAAAACGGCTGGGAGAAGTTGGTTTTGATACCCCAGCTTTGGTGATGGATGTCATGGTAGGCAGCATTGTTGGAGGTGAAATGTTGGAGGGGGTCGAAGGGGAATGCATAGCCGCAATGATCATCGACTGTTTTGATTGTTGAGCATGTGAAAAACCAAATTCCTTGACGGGTGGTCATTCTTGTGAGGAGAAATGCCACGCCGCCAGAAGCGGTATCGAGGAGGAAACCTTCAATCGGGTGGTTGTATAATGCACCAAAGGCGTAGGGCACGTACAGGCGATGATGGCGGGAATGGAAGGTTGCTATATGATTGCTCCATAGTCAGATGTCTAAGTTCGGCAGATGCGCAAAAATTTTTGCTTTTCCTGGAGGATCGACCATGAGCTGGACTTACTGTACAGCCATTTGTTTAGGTGCATTGCGCGGTGCCAAAAATATTGCCATGTGTCCATGATGAACGCCGCGGAAGCGAATTGCAAAGCTGGTACTAAATACCAGTAAATGGCGTGGGCTACATTCATTTCCCAACTAGCAAACGCGGGGACCACCACGGATTCTCCGGCGGCTGTTAGAACATTTTGCGTCAACCATTGATATCGGCCACCAGAGATTGCAGCAGCCACCGTCGGGTACGATGACAGCTTCTCGGCTAATCCTAGCGCATCGATTCCGATGACGGAGAGAGCGGAGGGGATCATGTGCTGAACGAGTCGCAATCGCTGAGCCCAGAGCGCAACATTGTATTCATCCTTGCCCGCATATTGAGGGCTATCAAAATATCCCAACAAAACGCCACTTGCAAGTTGGATCACCTGTTGCACAACCACATCCCGAACAACCTCTCGCCGTGTGACACGGTTCCGTTTTAAAATCTCAGCAGGGGTATGCAGGCGGTACTGGGGGAAGTAGTCGTTGACGTCGATCCAGTGAAATATCAGAGACACCATCCAGTACGCGACTATCGTCATGATTTGGCCCAGGGCACTGTCGGGGATCGGAGGGATCAGGGGTTCGCGGAGAGTGAGGGTGTAGGTCGGAAGAGGCGGCAAATCCGAGTAGACCGTCGCGTTGGCCATCTTGAAGGTGCTGCTGCCGAGCGCAACAAACCCAAGCCCAGTGGGCTCTAGCGGGAGGGCAGCTTTTCTGTTCGATTATCCAGGGGGCGAAGGCGATCAGGGCGAAGTTGGGTTCAAGGGGTGGGGCGGAAAAAAGCGCGAATTAAGCAGCAAGGTTGATAGGGGCGGGTGGTGAGGATGAACTACTTTATCTGTAAGGGCGTCCCGTGCTTCTGGGTTTCTGGGTTTTATTATAGTTCTTCTTCGTTGTTCGCTGAAGAATGGAATATCGAATACAATGTCCAGCAAACTTATGAGCGTGGGAGGATTTGAAGACTCGGGGGATTCGGGGACTATTGGAATTTATTGGAGCTGGCCAAAGGGTCCGCCGAGTAGTCAATTATAAAGCGCCAAGGCGGGAGGGGATCCGGGGAGGGGAAAGAGTAAGGAGTGTAGGGAAGGAAGGACAGGCTGCGAAGAGTCAAGAGATGGAGGCAGTGAAGAGAAGAGAGAGAAGAGAGTGAGGAGGAGAGAGGGAGAAGAGAACAAGACGAGAGGTAGAATCGGATGAAGTTGAAGCTGTTGGCGAGATCTTGATATACAAAAAAAGATCCCGCAGCCGACGCTGCGCTGACTGATACCGGCTGAGTCATCAGGGGCTGCACGTGATCCGTCGCTTCTCGCGTCTGGCTCCGGCCGAATCCGGTAACACGCCACCGGAGAACGTGGATAGATACTTTATTATTAACAGGGGAAAGAAAGGAAGAACCTAGGTAGAGAAGTTATTATTACTCCCGTAACTAGTTAACTAGTTATTATTATTGATTATTAATAACTAATAATATTATTTTGAAGAAACGGGCATGGGATTGGGGGGAAGTCAGTCAGATGTAGCCCTGCAGATCTCGTACTCGGCATGAAGGGCTATGGAAAAGCTTCTCATTCGCCCCGTACCCGGATACTAATACCATTCTTAAATCAAATGGTTAATATTCCAAAAGTATTTTGCCCAGTCTCACCAAACACAACGGATGATTTTAGATCGATAAATATCTAGCTAAACTATCCGCTCGGGAACAAATATATAGTATATATACGGAGTACGTGCTTCTTCCACATGCGCGTCATTTTTGAGGAGTCGTCAATGGGAATTGCGTGAGCCCGGCTGCGGCAAAATTCCTGGTAGGCTGTCAAGCACAATTGTCGGTCTCCGTCGGAACCTGGCAAGCCTAGCTTCCATGGTGGATAGATTGTGCGAAGAGATATGTGGGAGGAGCTTCGCCCGCTGCTGCGGGCGCTCGAGATACAGGCATTTCACAAAACTTGTAATGTGCTCTGCTGGCCGGTTGGCCAGGACATTGCCATTAATGATTTCCTTATTATCACCGAAAACAATCTTGCCATGCTCCTGGCGATATCTCTCCTGGTCCAGCAGCGCGTCAATCATCCGTGAGATGGTTGGAATGAACAAAGGGCTCGAGTTTTCTCGTTGCGCAAGATTTCTGGGAAGGATACGGGTATTTCTTGCTTCCAATGCTGTTTTCGTTAGCGGGTACCCGATTTCCGGGTCGAAATACTCCTCCATCAACACACAATCCCAGCTGACAACGTTGGGGACTTGCACCTTGGGACCATCCACGGAGAGAAAGTAGAGCTTTTCTGGCCAAAGCCTGATATGGATGGGTTCTCGCGTCGATCGATGAAGCCTGAGCACTTGGTTTACGTGGGAGTCATTGGAGCGGGGTAGTTGGTCCTGTTCGGCGTGTTCCCACTCCCCCGAAGCAATGAATGCCGAAACGATGTCATCGAGCTGCGAGTCCCGGACGAGGAAGTCATATTCCTAAACAATTATGCCGCCTTAGTAGTGGTATTCTGTCTGCTTCATGCGACTTGACCTAACGTAGAAAGAGGAAAAGGCTAGCGAAAAGGCAGAAAATACAGTGGGTGATCCCGCAATACCCATCCATAGCATCGCACACTGTTCCACGAGGATAATAGGGTGGTTGTGTCTGTCGAAGATGGAGCAGACATCGTCCAGGTATCCCGCTAGCAAGCCCCCAATCGCTGGCTGGCTCATCTTGCCTGTAGCTCTAGAGGACTGTCAGAGGCGTCGAGCTATATACCAGTTGTAATGGACAACAAATGGGCAAGAGATAGCTGAGATAGCTGCTTGTCGGGTTCAAATAATACTGCGACTAAATTTCTCCCGGTAACGTTACACTCCAGTGCAGCTCCAACTCAAGCACACCTCCAGCAAAATGCAGTAGAGTAGGATATCAAAACAACTCCCCAAAAATGAGAATTTGAGTCCAGATTATCGTTTTGTTGTGTTTATTGAAGCTTGATCCAGATCCCGTGACTCCGTCCATCTTTGGTCTAGCGTGTCCTCGGGTCCGGTCTTCCTGAAGAAAAGGAAAAAAGGAAAAAAAAAAAAAAAAAGGAAAAAAAAAAAAAGAAAAAAAAAAACATTTGACACTAATTTTGTTGCCCCCCGCTATTCTATCCCAAACACTTTAAAAGCGTTCGTTCGTCCACCACCACCAATTCTCCTTCGCGTCTTCTTCGACAACTTCTCCCTGTGCCAGTTGCATAGCCTCATTGTCCTTCTCTTCCTTTCCACCACTCTCTATATCCAGTTGCCAACCTAACCACCATGATTATCTACAAGGTCAGCGCCAGTACCCCGCTCTTCCAAGCCCTACCTACCTACCCCCCTCTCTTCCTCACTGCCAATGGCACTACAGGAACAACAACACAACAACAACACAACAACAATAACATAGACAACATAGACAAGCAAAAAATGGCTGACATTCGTTCCGTGTAGGATATCCTTTCGGGTGACGAAATCATCTCCGACAGCTGGAAGCTTATCGACGTCCCCGGCGGAGTCCTGTGGGAATGTGACTGCAAGAAATATGCCAAGGGCACCGACACTTACCGTCAGTCAACCCTTGATTCCCTTAACTCTCTCAAACGCAAAACAAACGGGATATATTTCTCGACGTTTTAATGCCTTCCTTTCTGTCTCAAGAGTGGTCTCTTGATATATCCAATTCTAGCATGTTTCTGTTAACACTCCACTTACTGGGCTCTCCCAGATTGATCGCTGACTAAGCCTTCTGGTTTTTATAGAACTCGAGGGCGCCAACCCCTCCGCTGAAGAGGGTGGGGATGATTACTCTGGTGAAGGTGGTGGTGCCGGAGAGATGGTTCACGATATTGAGGAGTCCTTCCGGCTGAATTGGCTGAAACCAGACGAGTCTGGTAATGACCTCAAGCCCTCTAAGGATGCTTTCAAGTCCCACCTGAAGTGTATGTTGAAAAGCCTCCCAACTTGATGGATTATGCAAATCAATCCTCCAACCACTCCGTTCCCAATAACCTCCCATTTTTTCGGAGCATTTTCTAACTTGGCTCGCCTCCAAAAACACAGCATATGTAAAGAAAGTGAACAACAAGCTCAAGGAACAAGGAGCCAGTGAAGAAACCATCAAGGAATTCCAGGCTGGCGCCCCGGCTGCCGTGAAGAAGCTCCTCGCCAACTACGACAACTACGATGTCCTTTTGGGCTCATCCATGCACCCTGACGGAATGTAAACTTTACCCTCCTCGCAAATCACGCTAAATTTACGAGTCTTTTATCTTGTTCATTCTATTTTCTCCCTCCTATATACTAACCCAAGAATCACTAGGTACGTTCTCATTGATTTCCGTGAAGACGGCGTCACCCCCTACGCCACCATCTGGAAGCATGGTTTGGAGGGTATGAAGGTCTAAAACCAAGAGGAAAGACACGAGGGATACCTTGCTCAAGCTCATTCTGTTATCCTACCACAGCCAATTGCAATGGTAGCCGTTTCCGGACCAGCCTTCACACTCATGCTCATAATATGCATCCTTCTGCCGTCTCAGGCAACGAACTAACTCCCCTGCCAACTCCAGCTATTCTCTTTCCCCCATCCACCCGGTGGGCTTGAAGGAATTTGGCCCCGGCGTTATCCCCCTCCCTCCCTCTTCCGTTTTCCATATCTTCGCGTTCTATTTATCCATTCCCCAACCCCCAACCGCCCGCTTTCTTAATCTACTAAACGCCTGACGAAATAAAGCAAGTCCAGTTTTTCTCTCTAATAAATAAAAAAATAAAAAAGGGAAAGAAAAGAAAACCTATACATTTATTTATTTATTTTTTTATTTTACAAGACAAGAGGAGTGATCCGTTAAAAGCATGGTTTTAAGATGGAATTGGGTTTTAAAAAAATTGGCTTCCCAAGTTTAATAAAGCCTTGGTAAATCTATAATCGTACCCTGTTCACTTGAGAAAGGAAAGGGAGGGGGGAAATATTGTGATTTACAGACATACATAGTATCAGCTGCCGTATTTCTCGCTGATGATGAGAATAAATATGCCTAGGAGGAATATGTCCATCAACCAGGAGTGAACGGAGATACATTAACATTAACCATATTCAAAAGAGGATATCATGTAGCTAACAAAACCAAAACTGGTCAAAATTCAAAATTCCACCCTCTCTCTACTCCTCTCACATGCCATTCTTCCGATCCAAATCCACTATTTACAATTCCGCGAAATCATCAGCTCCCGTGCCCGTCATAATAATCAGCCGCAAGCCCTAGGTCCCTTAATACCGTATCGGTCTCATCTTTGCTTACCGCGGGTCCGTCACCGCCATCAGCGGTAATACCGATTCTCCCATTCCCACCCGGCCCTGTGCCCGTCCCTGCCCCGCCAGTATTGATGCTATCAAGATGCATCAGGTCGTCAACGACAGGCAGCGAAGGTCCAAAGACGGCATCCCACTGGTCCCAGTCGAATTGCAAATTGTGCGGGTCGAGGATGGGGCTGGAGCTGGGGCTGGCGGATTGGAAGGTGGGGTTGGGATAGGGGCCTGGCTTGGGCTGAATATCGATGTCGATGTCGATGTCGGATGCGGTGGGGATAGGTAGCGGCATGGGGAGGTCGAGTGCTGTGGGGGTGTGGGATGACGTAAAGGTGGGGACATTAAGGGGGTCATTGCTGTAGCTGCTGGCACTGTAGTTGGTAGAGGACGTGGGAATGTTGAATGGTCCCGGTGGTTTAGTGGTATGGGTGGTGGTCGTGGTGGATGTAGAGAACTGGTAAATGGGGCCGTCGTTGATAGGAGCACGTGGGAACGGGGACGCAGTTGCCCAGGGTTGTTTGGCGATGTCGTCCGTCTGGGGGCTTTGAGATGTACGGAGCCAAGGTAATGGTGTATCTGACTGTGGAAGTGTAGTTGTGGCGTATTCCTGAGAGGAAACACCGATGCCTTCCAGCTGGGTATGGGAATGGCTTTCTTGAGCGGTTTTGTCTATTATATACGCATTGTCTTTCCCACTCTGCGCCCGCGCCCGTTCTCGCTCCCGCTGCCATTTCGTCGATTGACTATTACTGTGAACATTATGATCATACGGTTCCTTGATGAGCGTATAATAACTATCTGTAAAACTCTGGACCGAAGACTCTCGACGCTCTCTAGGAGCATCCGTAGACATATGCCTATTACTCGGGCGTCGAGCCTCCGCCTGTGCCTGCTCTGTCCAGAGAACACTCGGGTCAAGGCCTGCTTTGAGCCAGGCTTTCTCCCGCAGGCGCCGCAGCATGTCCCACGCTTGACGGCCGCCGTCTCTGAGCGGTCGAGATGTTGATATACCATCTTCACCGCCAACCACGCCGCCATCAGGGCCGGAAAGGGAGAAGATCTTGTCGATGAAGGCGCGGGATTTAGGGGCCTCCGCGGTTTGCGGGCGTTCGTATAGGTCAATAAGCATTATCCTGCCCACGGGTATTAGGATGAAGGGCACAAATACATGTGTGGGGGGAAGTTTGGTGACATACATTGTGGCATGCATAGGTTGATGGTTTCTGTGTTTTGAGTTTAGTTTTTGTCACCAATGCATTCTGGAGAGGCGAAGAGGAACTAACCCTGGCCAGCTCCATTGGAATGGCTGGAAGTCGGGATCAGTAGCTAACAAGATGAATTTTTCCATGAACCCATGGCAATGGCGAATAGCTCTAGCTTGTATTAGAATTATATATCAAAGTAACTTCTTAGGGCTATGTTTGTGTAAATATAGATGAAGGTGTATGTATACATACCGCTGACGAGCAACTGGCCATATATTACTTTTTGCATTCTTCAAGAAAGGTTGATAAGCAACACAAAATGCCTAGATCACCCGTCAGCATAAACGTAAAGAAATGAAGAGCCAAAACCAACACTACCTTGTCAACGAAAAGAGAGAGTAATATCCTAGCCCACTTGTGAAACGCAACCAAAACTGGGGAATGATACTGCTCAAGACAGCTAGGGCCGACCTCAGCTGTAGTAGAATCGCCAGAGTCCATAGCTGTAGATGACGTACATGACGGAGTGGAGTGGTAACTGTGGCCATCGCGGCTGCCCGGGTTCGCACATTTCGATACGGGTATCCGATCCACTATGGCCTGTAATTTTGACTGAAGGTCAATAAGAATTGTACGCAAAGATTCCATGTCCCGTCGCGTAACTGGCTTAGTTCCCAGTTGAATCTTCAGGATCTTTCGAATCGCCTCTGCGGTGAAAATTAGCACTTGGTTAGCGCATTGCAACGAAACCTATCGATAGAGTTAGGGAGGACTAACGAGCCATAACATATTTCCCTTTGGCAGATAGATAATACACGTTCACCATAGATGAACCTCCGCATATATTCGGATCACTTGGGCAGTCAGGCTTCCGCTCATTGTTGTTAACCATGCGCTCATACTCGGCCGCTTCCGGGGAGTCTAAAAGGGTATCCTTAACCTCGCTTGTAATGCGAACATCCCAGTAATTTTCATCGCTAACAAGAGGAGGGAGGCCGCTAGACATAGCCACCACGCCATCCATATGTACGATGTGCCACCATATGCGTCTTCGAGCCTCTGCCTGGCAAGCCGAAATGCCAAATTGGGCCGGGTCCCTGTGCAGCCCCATGGTTTGGGCAACACGTAGAGCCAAACTGATGAACAAGCTGCTTGCCAGTGGCTCTTCTTCTCTGGATAAAATAGTCTGGACAAGAAGGAACGCTTTCAGGCCGTGGATTGAGGGGTTTCTAGGAAAAGATATTTTACGCAGCCAGCGAGTAACCTCGTCATGGAAACGCGTGGACAGAACGGCGCGACTTTCTATGTCAAATTCATCGCGGATTATCCAGCGTGATATCGTGACAGAGCCACCGTACCAGATGGCATAAAGAAGTGGAATGAAGGAAGGATCGGGGCACGATTCAGCAGATTCCTTGCTATTCTCATACCAATTCCAGAATGCCTTATATTTCCTCAGAATCGAAGGAGGATGCACAACCGGGCTAATTGCATGCACTCCAGACATGAATCCTTTTAACAAAATACGGCTTTGTCGTTTTGTAGGGACATTCTCCAACATATATGGTTCAACAGATTTATCTGGTGACCCAGGGGACTCGCTCAATGGGAACAGCACCGATTTGTTAAACGAGTCCTTGCGGGTAGGTAGCGAGGTCTTCGCTCCGCGACTGCTGCTTAGGAGTGCTGAATCTGCGAAGTCATTCTCATCCAAAGAAGAATAGGCATCATCTGGACTGGGTGAACGATCGACAGAGAGGGTTTGGCCCCGGAGAAGCTGGTTTAGCTCCGTTATCTGCAGTTAACAGAAATCAGCTAGAGATACTACATTGTGTTAATTTCAATGTGATTGTACCTCACGCGAGATATAAGCCCAATAGGTCGTCCCAACATATCTAAGAAGAATTGTTAACTGATTTCCAACATCCTTGTTCCATTCCATGCCGTCCTAGGGTAACACCAACCTTGGCTTCCCACCCTCTTCCAAGCTGAGGTGCCCCAAATTCAACGAGCCAACCGGATCGACAAGATCCGTTTCCAGGCCACTCGGAATCGGAAAGTCATCTCCAGTGTTATTTTCAGCTTGGGCTATTTGGCACAGTCGAGTTTTCGACAGCGGACCGACGGGGGGCGAGGTATCCGATAACTGGCTGGGTAAATCAGGCGCACCTTGCTGCTGAAGTCCAGCATTAGTTGGTGCATCATGCCTTTGTCTATGCCTCGTCGTACTGAGCTCTTCGAGTGACTGGGGGTCATTTGTTCGAGCCCATTGCTCAACAATGGCCGTCAGTTGGTCCAACCTGGCGGCGATAGCCTGAGAATCCGAATACTGTTCACGGAGCGCAGCCTGTCCCCGCTGTATCTCTTTCAATATATGGTAGGGTGACAACACTTCAATCGATGAGTCGTCGATATTTACAGGTTCGTTCAGTTCCCTCTGTCGCTTGATGCCATGTTTATTTTCCCGTGAATGGTGTCGTGACTGGGAGGAGTCAGTCAAGGACGATGAACTGTAGACACATTCAGACTTCGTTTTCTCACAGGTTCCGCATGTCGGACGGACCTATAAATTTGAAAAAAGCAGGAGTGAATTAGCAAAATATTTAATATAGCCATCGTTTCGATATTTCTTATGTTGTGCCAGTATATACGTACAGTGTCGCATTTCACCTTGCGCCGTCGGCAGACAAGGCAACTCTTGCTGATTCGGAAGCGAGTGATCTGCTTTCCTGAGGACAGGTATGATTTGGATGCAGACGCAGCGTATATATTTGTGGGTCGGATATCGCCAGTTGGGCGTTTGCTAACTGGGCTGCTGTCCTGGATAGCTTGTTCCCTTGCTGATTCCCCTTGCTGACGATTGGCCATGCTATTCCTCAGGACGGGAGGGATTGGCAGACCTGACCCGAAGCCACCAGTGTAAATAAGAAAATCGGGGCAGGTAGACGGCAGGTTAAAATATCTACTGATGCGTCGAGTGGCTGCGACTGAAACTAGAAGCCCAGAGCTGCGGAGTGAGTGGGGTTGCTGGGTTGCGGGAACTAGATTCATAGAGCTGCGTTTTGCATCCCTATTCTTATTGACTCAGAAACTCCGCACAGTATTTAGCTGCTGCTACCTAGCACCTACGCCATCGACGGAACTAGGGGAGATACAGGAATTAACAATAAAGCTATGATTATTGAAGGAAAAATTCCCAGAGCTATATTTTAGAGACTATCTATAAATACTCCTGATATTTATTTTTAACTCGTTGTAATAGTCCCATCTACTTATTGTATGACATATATTTTATATTTGCGCCCAAGTCAAAAATGTCCAATAAAGATGTGGTAATGTAGTAACGTAACCCAGTAAATATGGGCGATTTGTTCGCCCTTTGGCGTCTTAGGATTCGTAGTTGTTAGATATTGGCGACCGTTCTAGGGCGCATTTTGCTTCATGAGCCTGGGATGCTGCGTAGGTAGTTGGGCCAGAGCAAGAAGAAAATCCAGAATCATCCAGAGAGCCCGTGACAAGCTTCTCTTATATATGTCTCGCACTTCATTCGAAAACAACGAAGTGGCGGTAGGCGAATGATTTGGAGTGAAAAATCTTGAATCGGCCGTCTTCCACTCTGCAATCCTCACATAAGATAAGGTGTTCCAAAACTCTGTCCATTTTCGCATGGAAACCCCATAGCGCTCTTGCTCTACAATTTTTGCGTCGTGCTCATCTAGAGAAAAATGTATGATGTTCCAATAAATTCAGTAAATCAAGCCTTGGCCTTCTTTTTCTCCTTCTTCTTTTTCGGTTCTGGAGCGCCACCAGGCATCATCGGCATATCTGCCCCTAGTCCTTGCTGTTGCATTTCCAACATCGCTTCTTTAAAGGGATTATCACTCACGCCTCCACCAGTGAGTGCTGGCGAATGGAACGGTAAAATAGTTCCGATCTTCCAGCCCCGGGGGGCTGCTGGGGGTGGCATGGGTTTTTCTGGTACCGGCAGCCCGCGGATACGGAGACGAAATGGAGATTCTTCAGTGGTTGGATGTTCGCGGAGATATTGTGCAACTTTGATATAAAGGTGATGTTCTGTGGGAAATTTAAAGGTTAGATTCATTGAATGCGCTAAGAAGAGAGCTTCGGGATGGGGTCATGCACACAACATACTATTCTTTACAACATTGGTTACTGGGGTGCCATCCTCAGTCTTTAACTGCACTCTAACTCGGCCAGGATTTGCCCAATCTTTCGGGTGCAATTTCTCCGGCTCCAGAATCCCGACACGCAGTCCCAGCACCTGTACCGCATCCAAGATATCTCTTGCTAGTGGATTCTCCACGGCGAGTTTCTTACTGACCTTCCTGCCCTCGGCGCGGGAGCGAGTTTTGTCAAAATATACGGGATACAGACATTGATAGTAACGGGGGATATCTCTATTGTCGATTTGGGGAGGGTGAGATTGTTGTGTAGGGGGTTGCGCTTGGGGCCGCGAGGACGGCCTTGATGTTGCTACTGAGGGAATATTGACAGGGGATATAATGGAATTCGCAGGAAAGTTGTTAGGATCGAAGTCGGCGGGATCCATGTCATCTGGATCGGAATCCGAGACCTCTTCCACTCGGGCATGGCGGGACATGACTGGCAGTCGGAGGTGTGTTCGTGGAGCTTGGCTAAAATAAAATATCTGTCTCCGCAATGGCTGCGGGACCCAGGGTTGTTATTCTTTCGCTCACGGAGTGTTACTTGGGACGGAATGTAGCGTCGTGAGGTATTTCGTTAGAAAATAGACCGGGAATGCTAACCAGGTATAATCCGTCAAGGTAGATGTACGTAGATGTAGTGTCGATTTAGATGTCGATTCAGATGTCGATGTGAGTTGGACGTGGCATAGAAGTTGTGTGGGGAGGAGGAATGGACGAGTCGGGACATGTTTGTGTGGTTTGCATGCGTTTTCACCTTAACAGTCCTATTTAAGTAGAAGGGCGGATCGGGACACCAGGATTCCTTTAAACTTCCTTCAATAATCAGAACTATGGTTTAAAGTATGATGGTAGTTTGGGATATTTACGAATATGGACCCAGCGGCCGTGATTGAAACAAATGCCAGCACCCCCATAACTACTCGTAGATCAGCAAAAGGAGCCTAAGCATCATGTTAATGACATACTCTGCCAGGCCCATGCCAGGGGTTTCGCGCTGTAGTTATCTATGTGCTCTTTCTTACAAGGTGAGTCACAGCGGCCAAGAACACAGCTCCCTTTGGTGATAAAAAAGGTTCGGTATGCCCCGTCTCGAAAAGAACTGTATCCTATGCAGTAGCACTAGAGGTATAAATTTAGATGGACAAGAGGTCAGATAAAACGACACAGAGGTTAGTCTCTTCAAAAAGGATCATGGTGTTATGCTTGCTAACATCCCATCAGCAGGCAAGAGTCAAAACAAGAATCCGAACTAAAGCGAGGAAATCCAACCCGCACCATGAGTTCTCAGCAGCTTATGGCTCCGGATTTTTCTGCGCTCATCAAGGATGCGAATCCGGTCTGGAATTTGCAGAAATGCCGCATCCGACCCTGTCGCGAGACTGATGCTGAAGCCCTTGTTATGGAAGCAAACAATTCCAAAATCGCCCGATGCATGAGAAACGTATTTCCTTTTCCGTACACATTAGAGAGCGCCAGGGCATTCATTACATCTCCATCGGCAGCCGAGTCGCCGCTCTCCGTTTTTGGTATTTGCCGGCCAACTGATGACCGGCTGATCGGTTGCATCGGACTAACATTTAAAGAAGATATCTACTATCGAACGATGGAGATAGGTTATTGGATTGGTGAGGACCATTGGAATCAGGGGATCGGCACAGAGGCTGTTTCAATCTTTTCTGACTGGCTTTTTGAGAAGTTTGAGCATATCCTGAGGCTTGAAGCGCATGTCTTTGAAGGGAATGAAGCGAGCGGTCGCGTGCTGGAAAAGGCGGGTTTCGTTCTAGAAGGACGGAGGCGCAAGGCGATTGAAAAGCGTGGGGTCGTGTTAGATTTGCTGATATATTGTAAACTTAAGTGCTGAAACGTGAAGACAGGGATCACATTTTTAGCTTCCGGTTGGTTGCTATGGACATCATCGACGTGTTCTCTCACTGTTCTACAATGCTATGGAATAGGATGTCAGCTGTGTCTTGAGTTCAATTTCAAGCGAGTTCAGTGTGTTGACATCTCATGCCATGCGCCAATGGAGCAAATTATTTGTATAACTAACTAGGGGTTTGGCTGCTCTCCAAAGCACGAAACATGACGAAAACCCGGCATCTACACGTATATGCACAATTTCCCGTCGAGCCTACAGAGTAGCCCTTGTTAGCACCTTGGTAAAACACCCATTGATTCAACCCACTGGACGAATCTGCAGCATAAGGGACTCTCGGTGGGGCTCCCGCCTATATACGACTGTGCGCAGTTGCGGGGGGGTCATATCTCTCGCAGCAATAATGCACCGTATATATCGGGATACCGACTACTCGCCCTCTACATCCTCCATGATTTCACCTTGTTCCGACGGCGATGTTGGCCTATCATGATTAACTGGCCAATAACCCCGCCGCCTAGTAGCTTTAGTCGGCTTGCTGGCGCATATAGACCTCGGAACCGATCTTGCATGTGGAAGCGTTCCCCAATCGCTATTTTAGGGAGGGGAGGACCCAAGTGGCCGGAACGCCATCATCATGATGGGGTAAATATATATTTAAATAATCCAATTGCGGGTCCGTTTTATAACATCAACCGTCAACCCCAAACCTTCATTGTTCACGAATTATCTCACCGCAGCGTCTCTCTTCTGAGTGGGAAAGTAAAGGCTTCTATCTAACATATCAATCTGATAACCGCCAATTAATTTTAAGAAATATCAGAGAAACGGCCACAATGTCCCAAGAACGGCGCGAAAGCCAAACCGCCGTGTTCCACCGCAACATACATGATATCCCCAAGACTGCCGTGGGCGGAGAAGGGAATTACATCATTCTTAATGATGGACAGAGAGTCCTCGACTCCACTGGCGGCGCTGCAGTCTCATGTCTCGGGCACGGGAATGAACAGGTCAAGGCCGCTATAACCGCCCAGTTGGACCAGATCGCATACTGCCACACGTTCTTCTTTGCGACAGATGTCTTTGAGGAGTTGGCACACTTCCTGGCAGATTCAACGGGAGGAAAGCTGTCGAAGCTGTTTATTATTAACTCCGGTATCATTTACCTTTTTAACATTTATCATATCTTGAACTTCCACTTCTTTCTTTTATCTTTGCTACTAATGTTGGAAATATCTCAATGCGAAGAGGAAGAGGAAATGTAGAAAGCATGGGATATTTTATAGTACATGGCTAAACAAACGCTGCAGGTTCTGAGGCAATGGAAGTCGCCATGAAGTTGGCCAGGCAGTATTATCTAGAGCTCCAGACACCGCAGCCGCAACGTACCAGGTTCATTGCTCGCAAGCAGTCGTACCACGGTACTACGCTTGGTTCTCTATCGATGGGCGGCCATCTTACTCGACGAGAGTTGTTCGAGCCATTATTACTCCAGAACATCAGCCATGTTTCACCCTGCTATGCGTACCGCGGGAAACGGAGCGGTGAATCTGATGCAGAGTACGTCGCTCGGCTGGCGGAGGAGTTGGATAACGAGTTCCAAAGGGTTGGACCGGAGAGCGTGTGTGCGTTCGTTGCTGAACCAGTTGTTGGTGCAGTAAGTTGACCGTCCCACTGCGTTCAACAATAAATTACTCAAAAGCAGAACGAAATTCTCATCCGCCTTTTACACCACCAGGCTCTGGGCTGCGTTCCCGCAGTTCCCGGGTATTTCAAGGCAATGCGAGCAGTATGTGATAAGTATGGCGCACTGCTCATTCTCGACGAGGTGATGTCTGGCATGGGGCGTGTGGGGACACTGCACGCCTGGGAGCAGGAAGATGTGGTTCCCGATATCCAGACAATAGGCAAGGGGTTGGGCGGCGGATATGCCGCCGTATCTGGCCTGCTTATCAACGAGCGAGTGGTGGATGTAATGGATAAGGGAACTGGTGCCTTCCGACACGGGCAGACGTATCAGGGGCATCCCATCAGCTGCGCCGCGGCATTGGCTGTGCAGAAAATAATCAAGGAGCAGAACTTGCTAGAGAACATCAAGAATATGGGTTCGCTACTGGAATCACTGCTGAAAGAGGGCCTTGGTAACCATCCCAATGTTGGCGATATTCGGGGAAAGGGTCTGTTCTGGGGTGTAAGTTTGTTGCCAAAACTATTATGTTCACTCTCTATTCACAGAATCCGAAAACCTCTCCTACAATCTCCCTTTTTTTTCCCCGCCCCTTGAAATATTAAATATGTCCCCCTCTCACCCAACTAACAAAACTACCCCCGATTTCAGATCGAATTCGTCAAGGATAAAGCCACAAAGGAACCCTTTGACTTAAGCCTTGGGATCGCCACCAAAATCCAACAGACATCCATGACGCCCAAATATAGCTTCTCGCTGTATGGAGGAAACGGAACGGCGGATGGAGTTCGCGGGGACCATGTGCTGTTAGCGCCTGCATATAATTCAACGGAGCAGGACATCAGGACTATTGCGGGACTAACTATCAGGGTCATTGAGGATGTTTTTGCTGCTGTGAATGGCGGTGGTTGATAACATGTTCCTGTTCAGTACCCGGGGAAGTGTTGCGATGTATCTATTCGACGTCGGGACTTTGGCAATATCTATTCTAGTAATGAAATCACCATGATATATACCATGGTTGGGGGTTTGCTAAGCATATATTTATTGTTTTTTGACTGACTAGTTACTCTTAAAACCTTTGCTAGAGCTGACAAAATATTTCAGAAAGCCCGAATGGATGAAATATCAGGTCACCCCGCTGGGCATTTGAAAAGAAGGATATACATCATCCTGTAATTGGTTAGATCAAACGTACATACATACATTCATAGTAATTCCACGGGCGGCTAGGAAGCCAACTTGGTTCCGCACGGATTTCGTCGAGCGGACGAAGGATGCTGACGGCTTGGGAAATCAGAAGAAGGGCTCATTCTTAGTCCTACCCGCCGCCCATTGACAGAATATCAGAATTGAAGCCGTGGATAACCTCTAGTTAGCTCGAGTGAGCGCACACTTCCAACTCAGTTATATCCCATGTGATACAGCTAGGGAGAATAAGCAAAGCAGGTTTAGAGGTGCGCTGCATGACAGTGAAATAGTAAACTGAGTATAGGATATATAACTAAACTGAAATTGATCGTGATCAAGAAGATAAGCTTCTCTGATCTCGAGGGTAAGGAGCGTGTTTACTGCGTATGTTCTTGCTAGTAATGAAGCAATACAAGGTCACCACTCTGATGCCATTATCTGTATTGCCGTCCTTAGTAAAATTTTCATTGTTTTGCCGTATATGTTTCTGGAGTTCTACCTTGTAAGCTTCCCCGCCATCATATAACCACTGCTCTAGCTTTTGCAACCTATCAATCACAGTAGAGAGCTCACTCGGGTTGACAGGTTTTCAAAACTCAAGCTTGCGTGTGGAGAATGTCTCAAATAAACCATGAATAACATGCTTAATACGGTCTGTGAAGCGGAATACAAGCTCATTATAGTAATGCTCGTGAGAATAGCCTGGATGACAAAGAGAAAATAAACAAATCGCCAAATATTTGAACCATCTCTGAGTAGACACAGCCTTGTACCAGCAAACTCCAGGGAAAAAAATTAGCAAATCACCTCGCCACATTTCATTTTCATGCCTGCTTGTAACAAAATTGGCTACTTCTCTTCTCTCATGGCGAGCTCCTCGGCTAGCTCAGGAGGACTGAGCATCCATTTCAGAACGTCAAAGGCCACCTCCTTGTCATAGTTATCCTCACCAAGGTTGTATATAGCTACTCCCATCGGTTCGGGTGACCGAGCAAGATTTCATCTGCGCCATTCTCCACCGCGACAATGTACAACAACCACAACATCGATTTCAGCATGAAACAGATACAGGAGCATCCAAGCTCCTCATGACACCAATGCGAGATGCTACGGTCGCCGGCCCAGCCCTAAGAGCAGCGCATCGTCGTACTGGGAACTATCTGGCCATCAAGTACCTGATTGACACAATCGGCTCTGAGGAATTCTCTACGCGGCACGTCCAGGGTCAGACAGCGAAACGTTTTCGACTCTTGCATGAGGAGCAGACGTTGATCGTGCCTCTCATGCGCGGTGGTGAGCCTATGGCTCAAGGAGTCAGCAAAGCCTTCCCCCTCGCCGCTTTGGTGCACGCTCATGCCCCCACGGACATCGACGGCTCTTATCTGGAGAGTCGGCTCACGATAATACTAGTCGATTCGGTTGTGAATAGCGGGAAGACAATTCTTCAATTCGTGCAACATATCCGCAAGCTGCATGGCAGCATCCGCATTGTCATCATCGCCGGAGTGATCCAGGCTCAATTCTTGAACTTGGATTTCACGGGGGTCCTCGTGCCTTATGAGCACCTCGACTTCGTTGCGATTCGGCTATCTACTAATAAATATACTGGAAAAGGCACGACCGACACGGGCAACCGGTTATTCAATACAACGTATTTGCGCTAGGAAACACTTCCCCAAGAACCAGCAAAGTGGAAAAGTAGCAAAATGGAAAGGTGAAAAGAAGAGGTAGAAATGTTAATGATTTCGGGTTTTCAGGAGTTGAATAATTGAGCCCTTGCGCAGCCACTAGGCTGAAAAGGGAATGGGTTGGATTGGCGCCTTCCAATTGGCGGGATTTCTATCATAGAAAGATCTTGGTGAAAGTGCTATGGGGAAATATCTAATGAATCTACACTCACAGCTCTTCGAGAAATATAAGCCTATAGGGCTGCCATGAATATTTTCCCAAGCCCATTGCAATAATGAGACTGTTCAGTCATCTCTTCCTTCATTTAGATGGCTCAGGTGGCCTCATCATCCATCCTAACTAAGTCAATATTCTCTCTGGTCTGTCGGGGAACTGAACTAGCAGCAACACATTGTTCCCACCAGCTGTCGCCTCTCGGAAGCTGGATGCCACATCGACTGTTTTCATCTTCATGTTGTACACAAACATATCCCGCCGTTTGTACTTCCATACCGCCATCTCAACCAAGGAACAGTCAGAGGGATCAACAGCTATTACCCTATCCACTTTCCACTCATTCCATTCGTAGACGTAGAAGGTAATGGTAGTCATATCATCAGCAGCCGCCCGGCCTTGCTCTGCCTTTCTGGATGGAACTTCTAGTTGAGACGGCCAAGATCCCTCCCTCGCACTTCCCTTGTGTGCCCTCCTGGTTGAGTGTGATAAATCACGCCAGTTTGGCGATCTCCTCCTGGGCATTCAGAGCAAGATAGACGCGGAGTATAAAGATCGCCTCGGGGCAAAAGACAAGCGCATCACAGAACTCGAGGATGTTGTCAGTTGTATTACACCCTCTTTGGCACAAAGAAGAGGAGGAATGCTGGAATTTGCTGGATGTGAAGCATGCCCAGGTGTATGTGAGGATAACAACACTATTTACCCGGGATACTGCACTGCAACTGTCTTAAAGCTACTTTGCCCAACCATGGGCTTGCACTCCAGGATAAATTGAGTAATGGGTCCCATCGATGAGATGGACTGTGGGATATTATAGGGGTGATTGATAACAGAGCCTGCTGACAGAGAGCAGAGCAGTCACAGCATGAACTCAATATCATGACAGCATTTCATGAGCAGGCTATCATCCTCTTCATCTCATGTTTCCTATGTATTTCTTTACTTAGGTCAGGGTGAATGATTCTTTCTTTCTACATGTAGCTAGATGTTGATTTTAGAGTTCTATCAACTAATAATTGTAGCTACACAATCTAAATCTGTTTAATTTTGCTGTTTAATGTAGATGGTCTTGAAAGCCTTGAGACATATTGGACCAGAGACATCCATGGGAACAGAGAGACCAGAGATGGCCGTGATGGCCATGAATCTATGGAGAGGAGGGATACAGAGGGACCAAGGATGGCCATGAAATGGCGGGAATCTATGGAGAGGAATAGGGATACAGAGGGACCGGGGACGGCCATGGGTGGCCATGGGTGGGAATCATGGAGAGGAATAGGGACAGAGGGGGATGGCCATGATGGCCATGAATGGTGGAAATCTAATGGAGAGGAATAGGGATATAGATGGACCAGGGATGGTCATGAAATGGCGGGAATCATGGAGAGGAATAGGGTAGAAAGGAGTAGGGACACAGAGGTGGACTAGGGGCAACCACATCACCTGAGAAACACAGGCTAAATTGGAGATAGCCACAATTGTAGAGCATAAGTGGAGAAGACTAGGGGCAGCCATGAGCCTGCATAGTTCATGACCCATATTAATGGAATGCTGGGAGCATCAGGGCCAGCCACAATATTCATGATTAGGGACAAAAGCAGACCAGGGATGGCTGCTAAGCTGTAAAATTCGTGGAATGGAGTAGGGAAGTAACCAGACCAGGGCACTAATCAAAGAAACGTGGACTATCATGGACTATCCTGGGAGCTGCTGGCTAGGGCTGACCACAAGTATATGGTCCAAAGGTGGATGCTAGTAGGATCAGGGATGGCCACAAATTTACATGATTCAGCCATGGACATCGGGGGTATCATGGCCGACCACGGTGCGTGGCTCATGTACAAGTTTATGCGGGGGCGGGCCATGAGTTGTGGCCCCTAGCATAGTGCCATCGGGTCGAACAAAACCAGCGCTCTGGGGAACAGGGTCTCTCGCAGGAATAGGCTCTGCGATGTTGGTGAATTCCCACAGTCCTGACTCATCATTTCTTGCTGCATGCATCAGGTGAGGATGCCAGTGGCGGTCCAGGAAAATATAGTCAGTGAGTATGTCATGAGGGTTATTTAACTGTTGATAAGAAATAACGACACTGGCACCATCTAAAGAGATTTGGCAGAGGTTAGTAGGTTAGGATTTTCAGAGTGAGATTGCCCTACCTGGAATAGCTTTTATCACGTAGATAAACTCATCCAGACTTTCAACACATTTATTGTGTAATGTGCGAATAAATCGAACCCAACGGTAAAACACAAATTGATCCCACAGCTTGGCAGATATAAACTCCTCGACACGCTACAGCATATGATCTTGCTTTCTGATATGATAGATCATGAAATATAGTACCGGCGATAGAAACATAACGAGACGGGGTGATCTTGTGTAGATCATGCACGGTGCATGAGACCACCAAATCTTTGCCTCCTTGTTGAACAAGAAGCCGGATATCGTTCCCCACATTTGAATCCAGAATTTCATCAAGTCGTACAAATCCAGTGAGCATTTCGTTGTTGACCTGGGCAAGAACATCACCCTCCTGAAGCATTCCATCACCAGGGCCTTCTGGTAGCACAATATTTGCCACGAGCATTCCAGTGTTCTCTGGGGCTGCTTTTCGAACAACAGCTTCCCAACTTTGAGAGGCCAAGCTCCTGACAGTCATTAAAGGGTTTAATCAGCCATTGCGTCTGTATCGTGCCACGTGTGATGGGTTCGCCCCTCTGAATACTTTCCAAGGCACGCACTGTCCGCTCAAGGGGCAAAAAATAAGATGTAGTCGCCTTATCAACGCGGCCCCCTGCTTGTAGAGCAACCACATGGCCGTTAAGTTAACTACAGGGCTCCCGGAACTTCCACCAGTCGCGCCAGTCGCTGCCTAAATATAGTGCGTGTTGAAATCATTATAGCCCGTTCCATAAACTGGTGCGTTCCGATCGACACGACTGATGGTTCCTTGGAGAATAGTCAACTTCTCGCCAGCATCATTGCCCACCACCCTAATTTCAACTCCAGGTTTCGCAGATTCTGGTCGGAGTTTCAGCTGCTCGAGGGACATGTGTTTGATGGCTGTAGGATCGATCTTGAGGAAACCAAAGTCGTGAACAGGATCCCGGTATACAGCTGTAGCATCGCACTACACAAAATAAGGCATGAGCAGATGAAATAGTCAATGTGCATAAGGAAAAAGGCACATACCCTTTCAAAATTGCTGAAGACACAATAGCCTCGGAACGGACCAACACCAACCACATGTCTATTTGTTAAGATATATATACCCATTCGTGGCGTCGACAAGGACCCCAGTAGCCTGTGAGGACGCGGCTGCATCTGTATCGAATGATTTGGGCCGGCGAAAATATACAGACACTACACTCCTGGCCACATCCTCAATAGTCGCCTGCCAGTCTGGCATGTCTCCGTCAATTTCCGTAATTGAGCCTTTTATCACTGAAGGAGCAGCTGGCTAGCGGTCAGAAGGACAAATTTCAGGGCAGAAATCGAATGTCTTTAGACAAAGAGAGGGCGAGGTCAGTTGAAGTCAGAGAAACTGTTTTCTGCCCACCAGGCGTAAATTCCTTCATGAGCATCTCTCTTCAAGAAGAACTGAAGAGGCTTATGATCAGTATAAATGATGGTGAGTAACTGTGAGTTCTGACAGTAATAAGAGTACTTTTCCATGAATTGTACTATAGTAAGAAGTTTCTTTTCATGAGTCTCATTTTTTCACTCCTGTTCCCTTGACATGCACGGCCCGGTTCTTCGTTCCCTGAAGAATAATTTCTGGTGATATTAACGCTGCTTATCCTATAAGATAACCTGAGGACATCTCTTTTATAGCGCCAAAGAATATTGCCATCAGGAGCCGTGGAATGTTGATAACAATTTCACAAGTGTCAGCATCAAACTGTAGGATAGTTGAAGGTTTGTATTGATAGATCTATCTACAGGAACAATAATATAGTGGTGGATCACGTGATCTAGTGGGATCGCTAACCGCAACGGCCGTAAGGGCCAACACCCCCCCTTGAGATAACAAGAATCACATACAAAAACACCCAAACCACCAAGATAGTCTGTCAAAACCAAATACAAATGTAAAATTAAACATTCCCAACTTTTACACCTGTAAGACCTAGTAAAACCATGAATTACACAAATGTTATATTATCTAGAGATTTAGTAAGTTCATTCATTATTATCTAAGTGATAAGAATGTATTCTAAATCAATGACTCTCTGATTCAACTGTCAACATGAAAAATGAAAACATATGTCAATATGCTTGTTTTAAGCTGTAATGACTGTCATCTTTGTGAGATCTATAGCACTCTTATTATTGATGAGAATCTGTATCAGAGATATAGTAATAAAGTCAAGCTTAATCATGAGATTTCAGATTCATGTTACCTCACAGACTGTCTTACTAAGAGTTATATATTCAGTCTTATTAAAACTTAAAGATATATAAAATTACTTTACTGAATATCATAAAATCAGATCATCTATGAGCTTAAAAATATAGCTGAATGTTAATTTTCTATCATCATTCAAGAGATCAGCTCAATCAGAATTTGAGTAGCTGAAGAGTAAGTAGAAATTATCAGAGAAATCAGAGATAATGAAAGAATTAATAGAAATGAAAAAAACAGAAGAAATGATAGAAATGAAAGAAACAGTAGAAACAGACCTCTTATACAGACTGTGTCTGTAGAAAATACTCAGATTTATAATCTCTTTTAAATAATGTATAATGTGTAATAGAGCTTTTCAATATTAAGATGTTAAATCAATATTCTGTTAAGTGAGTAGTAAGACAGTATAAGTGATATCAGAACATGTTTTAACTGCAAGATATTGCAAGTAACTCATATTATGTTAATATCACTGAATTATGAAATCAGCCTCTTTCTCAGATATAGAGAAATTATTAATACAGAATTCATTCTTCATTGATATTCTGATAATAGCTGTATTATCAAGATAGAAATCTTTAATAAGATATTTAATATATTAATAATATATTAAATCAATTCTCTTATCTGAACAATTGATCTTCATACTCAAATACTTGATTAACTGATGTAGATTCTTGACTTTCAATTTCTCACTGAGTATACTCACTAGTCAATTAACATTCTCAGAAGCTTCAGATATAATGTTAAGATTATCAATATAGATTATTATATAAAGATAATGTCTGAATGTATAATATCAGAGTACTGAATTATAAGTACTAACTGTAAATTCAAGATTGCTTAACAGAGCTATTAAGTAATTATATCAGATCTTCACTGCAGAGTTCAGACTGTATAGACTACTCTCAATCATATAAATAAGTGTTTTCAGTGAATCTGTCTCAAATCTGATAAGTTGTCTCATATAGATCTTCTTAGTAAGACACTTATAAAGATATATTATCACTATATTCACTTAACAGAGTGTTCAACTGTATAGTGCTGCTATTGTAAAAAGAATACAATTAACAGTATCAGTGATAACAGAAGTGTAGATCTCTTCTCTAGAACTCTTCTTAAGTCAGTTATTATAAATTATTTAACATGATTTTCTAAGAATATCATTAGAATTAGTATTCAGGTTCACAGATCTATCTTTCTCAAGAAACACTTAATAGTCTGAAGCAATCAGTTCATCTCTCAGAATATCAGATCTAGAGATTAAACTTTATATATTATGTCTCTTCAGATCAGTAATCTTATGTTGCATGAACTTCTTTCAATAATCTTCTACTCTCTCTGACTAAGATGTAGCATTCTTGTAGAACTTCAGAAGATTATCTGTAATAAGATTTAAAGTATAAGTAGTCAGTGATTTCGCGGGCTGCAATCATGTAGAATTTGAATTATCAATGTCAGAGATATCTTCATCATCAATCAGATGAATATCAGGTTTCAGTACACTGATATTATTAGTGAGTGTTACAGATGTGACAATCAGTTCAATAACATAATTAATGAGTTTCACAGATGTAATAACTGGTTTTTCAGTGATTGAGAATCTCACATCACTACTGATAATAATCTTGTCAGATTTGAAATACTATAGATGATATATTGATATGCTACTGAATTCAATGATATGATAGAAATCAGCATGTGAAGAGAGCTTATTCACAGATCACTGAGATTCATGCAAGTGAATAAAAACCTCTGTACTCAATCAGTGAAAATGTCTTACATTCAGTAAGATATTTATAAATGCACATTAAGAAATCTTATGTGAACTTGAAATCACAGAGATCTCTGCAGTAGAAGGCTAAAATTTTGAGTTATAAAGAACTGTAGATGTGAGAGTATTATTGATTATTGTAATCACTATCTCTAGAACATCTGTTCAGAACTTCTTAGAGAGATTATTCTTCAAAAGAGCAGCTCTAACTTATTCTATGATAGTGTAGATCTCATGTTCAGAAACATCATTCTAGTGTAGTGAATGTGATGCTGTTGATTCTCATTTGATACTATATGAATTCATAACTGTGTGTATACATGTGAATCAGAAAACATTATTAATATCAGTCTGTAGAAAAGCAGAGACTGTATATCTGAGATTATTCATGAATCTGAGTCACAACTCAAAGTATTGAATAGTCTTATTCTTGAACTTTAAAAAATATACTCAACAGTAGCAGATCACATCACAGATAATAAGCATTCAGTATTTAGTTCTCTAATGAGACTCTAAGAGATGATCAGAGAGATTTTTCAATGTATATCTATTATCTATAAGATTAATATGAATCTTCTCAATGAGTCAGATAGATCTAGGTATCAGTGTTTTTGAATAATCTCATATCATACCTGTCTTGACACATTTCTTGCAAAAGAACTTAGTCTTAGAATCTTTAATTATAACTTCAGTATGAAAATTCTTGACTATAGCAATTATAGCATCAGTGTGAATATGACTGAGATCACAGTGCCAGTTCAAAAGAGTCTTTGATATTCTTGTATTCTTGAGACCTGTATTCGTGTCTGCAGAATTGACATTATTAACAGTAGTAACAGCAGTCACAGAAAGATCAACTTTTCAATCAAAATTATACTTATAAGACATCATTGCAATATACTTAACTGCTCTGTTCAGATGATTGAGATTCTCATTAAACTCTCACTTATTGATCTTATATATATTATTCTGAGTAGTCTGAACTGTATGAAAAATAACATTATTCAGAGCTCTGCAAATGAAAAATGAGAGAATAGTGAAAGACAATGTAAATCAGAATCTCTGATCTTCAAGCTTTATAAATAAGAGCAGGTTAACTGTAATATTAGAAATATAGTGAACATTCTGCAAGTTAATATCATCACTCTCAATCTTCAAGATGACAGTCTCAATTTTCTTGATAAACTCAGTTCTCTCAGTCACTGAATCAACAGAGATATTATTATTAAAAGATTTGATATTTGAAAAAGAATGAAGCTCATCTGTCATATTCAGACTTACACATGTATTCAAATATCAAGATCTGAAGAATGATTTTTCAGTGACTGTGAAAGAGAAATAGAACTCAATCTTTGTAATTACTGCATTTGCTACTGATTAAGAACTTATCAAGTCATTCTTCTTCTCTTTCTTCTTGTCATTCTTCTTGTCATTCTTCTTTTTCTTTTTATCAGAGTGTAAGATGAAACATCTATTAACAGTATATTCATATCTTCTACAGTGAGTGCACTTTCATACAGATGTTGTCACGCTCCCGGCCGCGCCAAGGCCCCGTTGCGGTTCCACACGGCCCATCGCTTCCATGCGGATGATTTCATCCTGTTCGAACCGGTTTCCAATCACTCTATAACATCATTCAGATGTATCATAGAAAGATCCGATTGATGAATATAAGAACCTCGCTTTTATATGAGATCAGCAGATTACTCTTCCTTGATAATGAGACACTGCTGAGGTATCACTTCAGCTATTCTCACTTGTGAAATGAGAGAAGAGTATTCACTCATTATCTATATAGAATAGCTAGATACTGACTTCTCATCAAAGAAGTCAGTGATTTGTTTTACTTCTACTGAAATATATATGAGAGTTACTGTGTATCTTATACAATCTTCTTAGTGTACTAAGTATCATATCTGTGATATTCTCATAATAACCTTGTAGTCTACAAGCTTGCTATTCAAGCAAGATAGTCAAGCTCATTTATACAGCTTCTTAAACAACTATCTCTACATGATATCACTGACTAGTCACTGCTTCAGTTCTATATATTACAATTCAAATCACTCAATCTGATTACACATTTGAATCAGTTGAGCTTTAACAGACTGATATAACTTTATACACTTACACTGAGACTGATCTGACCTCATTCTCTGAGAGAAACACTACATCATCTTCTAGAGTGTATACATCTCTATCTCAGCAGAAATCTGAGATTTCTGAA